CGTGAGCGGAAAATCATTGTTATCGATAGCCGACGACAAACAAGTTAAAGGTAACTGAAATGACTCAGTAGTATTAACAACAAAAGTACTACGGTTGTCCACACTTTTACGGGAATACCTCTATATCGCCTTAACCCTTTATTCAAAACTGTTTTTTTTAACCCCCAAGGGTGACTGGGGAATAGAAGTATGGTCACCATTGGTCTTCCTCCGACCGGCAGTAAAACCCGTGCTAAAGTGGGGCGTCCGTTTGGCTGTACGGGATGTACAAATTTGCAGCCACGTCCGGTCAGAATGGGGACGTTAAATCCGATGCCTCGTGTAAAGAGAGTGCCACGCTCTTTGCACGTTAAGAACCCTTGCAACAACTCTTTGAGGGGTCCGTAGGTGACCTGCTGCAAGGCTAAATTTCTGTCCCTATCCAATATACCCTCATTTCCCGTGGTAGTCTAAATTTTTCCGACCTAAATCCCGAACGCCCCTATTACAGAACCTACCTATTGTATTTATTGTTAATTTGTTCTCGTCCTGAATATGCATGAAATATTTGCCACTGGACGTTAAGCAACCAACAATCAATCAATCAAAACTGTTTTACTGTGCGTATTGCTGTGTGTTTGTTTATTCCACATTGTCTAGAGGTTTAGGGGAGGGTTGAGATCTTAAAAAACAAGTTTAACCCCGTCGAATTTATTTGCCTGTCCCAAGTCGGGAACCTCTAGCCTTTGTAAGTCTTATGTTTTTTTTTTATTTTGGTTTTTTTTTTTTAGGAATCTAGTGTGGCGTCCATTTTGCTGAACTAGTATTCATTGTTGTTTAGGAGCCAGTTGAAGCCCGCCTCCGGGAGCGATATTTTTTCGCTGCATTGAAGACTCATTGGTGGCTTTGGCCTGTTTTCTGCTCTTTGGTCGGATGTTGTCTCTTTGACACATTCCCCGTTTTCATTCTATATTCAATGCTTGTAAATAGTGGTGAAAGTGTTGTTAATAACTATTGAGTACATGTAAATAGGTGCGAATACTGAGTAATGAGTTAATAAAAAAATCAAAGTACACGTAACTGAAGCAGCTGCAGTAAGAACAATGTATTCGTTTCAAGTATTATGGGCCTTGGATAGGAAATTTAGTGAAATAACGAGAGAAATCAGAACATTTCTAAGTCACTTCAGTGTTAAACAAACGGAAAGTTTAACAAACAAATAAGTTATGTTCCAACAGAAAACGGCGAGAAAAAAGTGAGCAGCTTAAATTTGCTTTACAGCAATAATTGTATTGGTAATCGTTGGTCGACCAAAAACTTTACGTGTGTATTCCACTTTTCTGCATAAAAAGGCAATCATTTATTTTGTTCGAACGGCTATAGATGCACTGTCATTAAAAATTATTTTCCTGTCGTCATAAATACTACATATCCAACCTGGCTAACAATTTGTTTTTGGTATTTTTGTCGCGGGAAGCTGTTTCATTGGTGTATACAAATATTTTTATTTTAAAATTGGTCAAAAGTCATCCCTCTGTTGAAAATAAAAATTCGTATCATTATTCTAAGGAGACTGATGATTTTAGTCATATTGACATTTTTGTGGATCATTTAAATGTTTCCAGTTAATGACTATATACAATTGTTTTCAAGATACTCCACACAATCGCCTGAATTGGTAAACCAATAATCACTTCAGGGCTTTTTAAAAAAAAAATGTCTATTAAATGTGTGAAAAGAAGGTAGATCTTGACGTACTAGGCACAGCATACCCTTTCATTTATTCTCTATGTTTTGTAATTTTCAAGACATAAGAAAATTACCTGCATTTTAACATTGATGATCTATTGCTAGTTATGGAAATGTTTGTTAAGACAACAGACAAAAAGTGACGATAATAATTCAAACTGGCCCTTTTGACCAGAGAAGCTCAAAAGACCGGTGGGAAAATCTTGCAAAAGGATTTACAACAGACATCTTTGCCTTTTCTGTTGCATTATGATGGTGTATATTCTTATTGGTTTTTCTGCTATATAATATCTCGGTTTATTTGGTGTGCATGTCTTTACAAGAACATCTTGGTTGTAGTAAACGTGAAATTTTCTTAACTAGAGGACTGTTTTTCCATCAGGGAAAATAGTGTTATAGATTGGTCAGAGTTTTTCCTACGATTAGATTAGGTTGGGTGAAGGTGTAGATATTTGTTGCAGAGAGTGGTTCTACTTGCATCCGTTTAGTGAAAAGTAGCAATTCGTATCCTTTTGCAGACAGTAATTGAAACTTTCCTTGATTGTGGTTATGTGAATCAATTCAGACCTGTGATGTGTTTGAAATGGCAATCAATTTGCTAATTTGTGGTTTGAGGCAATATTATTGTGTACAGCCGCCGATTTAAGAACTAAATCATTTCACTACTGTAGGGCTAGTGTTTTCATTATTATTTTATCCAGCATTGGTTATCATTTTTGTATTGTCCTTGTTTTTGTTATATGTTGTATCGGTGTTTAGGACGTTAAAGCTTTTTCTGAATTTTATAGCACACTTTTATAGCAACAATTTCTAATTATTGAACTGATCCAAATTAAAACGTATAGGCTTAAGAACTCAGACAACGTTGTTCAGTTTTGTGCCTATCAAAACCCAGCAACTTCTTCATAAACTTGTCTTTTGTTGTCTACCAAACGCTGTCCTTTGCGGGTCTTTTTTTTATTTGGTTCGATTCCTATCTCATTGACAAAAATATCTCGTTTTAGTTTAAAATTTTAAAACATCACGCAAAAAACTTTGATAATCTCATTTAATTTTTCAAATTTGTAATAGACTTTTTGTATAGTTTTGTTATTGTCTTGCTGACGTTTACCACACACTTACTACACAAACAACCAAACTAAAAACAGGAAAATGAGTAGTAAGGTATGCCTATGCTCCACTAGTGTCAACCGTTTTGCTCAGAATAATCAAAAGAGTTAAACGTAGGGGAAAAGATTAGATTTTTATTACAACCAACGGAGCGTATCTAAGGTCAAATTGTCTTCAAATGCAATCAATGGCATACTTGTTGGTTTGAGAGTTTGGAATTCGTCATTAAAATCTCCAACGTTTTATTTCAGCATTAACTGATAAGTTCGTGACCTTTTAAGGTTTCATGATACTTATTATATAATAACTTTGATATGTGATCATTATACGAAAGCTTTGTTATTAAATTATTCGCTATCGGTAAATAAGAATCATCACATTGTAAAAGAGAAATGTTAGAATATGAAGCAGGTTTTGTATTATTCTGATTTATTGGTACTACGATCTCTGCTTCATACATGTAAGATTTCAAACATAAATAAAACTCGACAAACATTTAATAGTTAGAAATCATGAATGCCCGGCAGTTAGAAGATCTGTTCAATGTAGAAATGGACTGAGTACTTACCAGTATATAAAGTGATAAAATATTCAAGTATATACATGGGAAAACAATTTATTCATTTACCATATAACATCCTTTGGATATTAAAAAGATCTGTCAGATCTAAGTATTTATGTTTTCTGAATTTGGTTTACACATTTGTTTAAGGTCTCCATATTTATTTCAATGAAGAAAAATCTGTAAAACTGTCGAATTGAGTTACAATTTATTACTAAAATCAGCAAAGACCCATCGAAACAATATCTGATACAAAAATTTAATAACACTTTTAGATATTTGGATGATATATTGGCTCTCAATAATGACGACTTCAGTATGTACACTAAAGAGATTTATCCTGCTGAACTGACTTTATATAAAACTAATACTAACAATGAACACTGCCCTTTCCTGGGTCTTGCTGTCTATATCGTTAACGGGAAGCTTAATACCAAAATTTACGATAAAAGAGATGATTTGTCATTACCTATTGTTTATTATCCATTTTTAGATGGTGACGTTCCCTTGTCACCATCTTATGGAGTTTATATATCTCAACTTGTTCGATTCGCTCGTATATGTTATAACGTATTTGATTTTAACGAAAGAAATCTCTGTATTACTGAAAAATTATTACACCAGGGTTTTTGATATCAAAAACTTGTCAAAACATTTACTAAATTTTATCATCGGTACAAGGACATCATTCGTAAATATAAATCAACATGCAGACATCTTATACGTTCAGGTATTTCACATCCAATCTTTTATGATAATCTTCTATACAAAGCACAAAATGTCGTCATTCACCCCAAAAGCTAGCCAAACCTTTAAACAGACTTATTCAGAAGGAATATAGTTACGACACTGTTGTCAGGTCATTAAAGATGGCATATTTTGGAATTAATATTGATTCACTCATAGGGTTTTTGCATCGGAAATAAACACATTTATTCTAAAACCAGTTGTTGGCATGATACGGGTTATGTTCTTCTCATATATTTTATGATGTTATGATATTTAACCCCTAACGGGAGGGATTGTGCTTGATTTTCATATAATGAAGACATAATCTTTCAATCAGTTGAATTGAGGTCTGGAGCTGGCATGTCAGTCCTTTGTTAATTTATCTATCATTGTCATTTTGCTTAGTTTCTTTTGTTACCTATTCTGATATCGGACTCGGACTTCTTTTTAACTGAGTTTTACTGTGCGTATTGCTGTGTGTTAGTTTATTTTAGGTAATTGTCTGTTTGACACATTCCCCATTTCCATTCTCAATTTTATTGCTTAACGTTCATCGGCATTTATATATAGCATGCATATTCAGGAAAACAAAGTGCTAATAAGTTCTGAATTTAAACAACATAAATACGCGGATTTGGATTTTAACACGCTAGCATTAAAAGATGGAAGGCTCACACAATCCCCATTAAAATAGTTGTTGCTCGAACTTCTTAATTTCGCTATCTTTGCAGGGAAGAACTATTTGGAAAATCTTTTGTTTTTTTTTAACTTGCCGGTGACCTATCTCACTATCAAAGAAAGACATTTAAACGTTTTAAAAATATTCCATGAGGATTCTACCATCCTGCTGACAAGAAATAAAAAATGAACATTTTGAGGTTGATAGCTTTTTATTCATCAATATCTATTTCCACTTTTTCTCCTTGAATCTTTCAAGCTTCATATTTCCCGAAGTTGTACCAGTGATTACCATTTAGTCAGCTTCAGTGTAAAGCTTGATCCATCAGTTGGGAAGAATCTGTCCGAGGCTGAAACCACATATATTGTCACTTTATTGCAATACACATTGAAGATTACGGGTTTGATCAAATATCAAATACACGTTTTATGTTATTTGAAAGTTTATAACATTGTTTGATATGAAGCCACTTTTGTACTTTACTTTAAAAACAATCGTAATCCAGTTTTATCGATGGACGATAGTGTCCCGGTATAACACTGACCATCGATGAGTTACTTAAATGGAGAACTACACTGAGTTTTAACCCTTTCAGCCCAGACCAATTATTATACAGGAAGTGCAGAAATTTTTTATTTTAACTATTCACTCTCGACAGGGTAATGTAAGCATGAGCATCGGTATTCTGGTGTTGCCTTAATTAATCTACAATATCCATCAGCATATGAGGTCTCCACGTTAGTATACAGTGTGCATTCCTGCATATTTTAATACATACATAAAGTAAAGAATATTCTCAGAGAACCTGGCAAGATAAAAGCAGTAACTGTTAATTGCAAATGGGCGACCCCAGAAGAAAACACATACAATCTGAGAGTCTTATTGTCTGTAGTACAAAGTATTAACGTTTTACTTTGTTTTTAAATTCGACATACTTATAATTGTATAATTTTACTATATATCGGAATCCTCAATCCTATTCAGCCTTAATTAACAAAGTCTGCACTGTTTTGCTGTTACCTAGTATCTTTAGTAGAAAGAGGTCGAAGAAGATAATACACAGATAAACAGATATACAGATATTTAAGCTCCAGCGTATGCGCAATCCGGGAAGGGGGTAATGAGAATGATTTTGATTGCGGAGAACCATATGTTTGACTATTACCCGTAGACAATGGAGTGTCATTAGAATCCAACATCTGCCAATATTGTCTATTTATAGTCAGAGCATCCATTCCACAAACTGATCTGATTAATTGACCATATGTTGTTGTAGTACTGGTGAAGCTAAAATCACAAATAAAACAAACCGTAAGCATTTGTGAAATTTCTTAAAGTCATAGATATTACTTAAATAATTAAAAGTTACGGTGTCTGAGTGTTGCCGATTTTGATGGATTTAAGTGCTATTAAATTTAAATGTTGCGGTTTCAGACGTCAAATTACTAAGTTAAGACACGTTTTGTCTGGAAAATAATGCACTTCATATTTTGAGTCAAATACAGATAGGTGCAGTCCTAACCTGTACAAATGTTAAATTAGAACAGTCCTTATGAATGACTGCTCTCTTAGTTTATATTATCCTTATCAGACATGACCTAGGTCTGCTATTTTATGACTGCTGCAGACCAGACCTAATGACAGGTCAGCTTGACCAGACCAGACCTGTGAACAGGTCAGCTTGACCAGACCAGACCTGTGGACAGGTCAGCTTGACCAGACCAGACCTGTGAACAGGTCAGCTTGACCAGACCAGACATGTGTACAGGTCTGCTGTTAACCTGTCCAGTTGGCAAGTCTGCTATTAGACAGACTAGTCATGTCAGTCATTGCGACCAGTCTGATTTTTAATCGGTCCCATGTTTTCACTGATCGGAAGTCGATACTCAAATGATATTCATCAATCAAAGCGGTCCTGTTTACTAGTTAACTTTGGATCATGTTACTTTTATCTTTGAACAGACCAGATAAAAGTTAACTTTTATATGACCAGGTCTGGTTCGGACAGTGCAGTCCAGATCAATGACTGCTTGTTCTAGCAGATCTGGTCACAGGTTAACTTGTGTGAAGCACTAGTTTTGGCAAAGTTACCTTGTCACGAGTTAACTTCAGTATTGGACCTTTCATAAAGTTAACTTTTAGGCCAGTCATAAAAACAGTCCTAGGACCAAGTCTGGTTTTTAAGTTGACATAAATTCTGTCCTAGGACCGTTTGGAGCAGTCATAAATCCTGCTCCAAATAAACTTTCACCAGCCATAAAATCTAGTTATCAAATTAACTAGCTGTATAGGTTAGGACTGCGCCCATCTGTAGATTTTCTTACGTATATTAGTTCTTACCTAAAAGAGGAATCAGCAGCTTGTAAATTCTGCAACGCATTATATAACGTCTGACCTTCATTTAATGAAACTGACCACACTCGGTTGAAATGTCCTGATACGTTGTTTATAACCGTAATTTTAATCAAGAAAACCTTCGACGAAGGAGGGGTAGTAACTGAAAGAAATGAAATAAAATGGGCTCAAACTGTAACAAAATAACTGCCAAGAAGAGTATGTAAATGTTATGAATATCAATTTAGTTCTTTAAGGCTTATTTCAAGTAATTATATATACATTTGTTTTATTAAATTGTAGCTATACTAATCGTAAACAAATATATATTGCTTCAATAATCCTCCATGCATTTCACTTGGAAAGGCCGGTGTGTGTCACTGTGTATGTGAACCATTTTTTGGAAGTTATAATTGTAAACGAATAATGTTTTCACAAACTGGTCGATATAAATTCTAACTGGACAAAACACTGTTATGTTGAACTACAGTATATACCATACTTCGTATAGTTTTGTTCAAAAATAGAAAAATTTTGGAAATATGACATGTTTATCATTACAAAAAAACCCATAAAGTAACAAAGAACTAACATCTTCACATTTCCTTTCACATTAACCCACGTCAACAATGCCTTCTTCAATAAAATACATTTCAATGCTAGTTGTGTAAAAAACGCGTTTTTGAAATAGGTTCAGTGTACAAAATGCATCGGGCATTTAAATGGAAAAAAATAATTTTATAATTTCGTGAGTCAGAGAAGCTTTTCTGGATTACCTACGTCTATTTAAGGTAATAAATTATGAACATGTTTGTAATTGCAATTAAAGTTAAAAACAAAAAAGAGAGAGAGAAAATACAAAGGGAACAATCAAGCAAAATAAAAGACTACAAAAGACAAACAACAACATGGCCACATAAAAAGACGACAATACACAATCAACAGTTCACTCTAGACAGACTATACAGACAATTAAAAGATTATACATAGCAAAAAACGAGCCTTAACAACATACTTATATACTCCGAAGGGATAAGTTGATTGATTGATTTTTGGTGCTTTAACGCCACTTTTAAGCACCGCTTTTGGGCTATTTCGTGGCGGTCAGTTTTTATTGGTGGAGGAAGCCGGACGAAGGGATAAGTAGTTACTACTTAAGATGCAAATCAAATCGTGTGTCTCAGTCTAAGTAAATCTCTTATGACTGGACGCAGTCGTTTTATCATTAATAGTAAAAACAGAAAGACTATTGTAGCTATGAAGTGGAGCATATTTGCGGTCATTTGTGACACAGACATTCTAGTACCTCAAACCAAATCATGATGCATGGCGTCCGTAACTATTTTGATAAAATCTTCTTTATCAATCAAAAACCTATAACTCAAGAATTACAACCACCTCCCCAATCAAAGAAATCATAATGAGGAACGCTGGCCAAGGAAAATCGTATCAATGGGGAGATATACCTATTCCAAATGTACAACTGAAACGTAAGTTGATACACAGAAAATGAAATTTAACAATTGATTCAAATGAAATTAGCTCTTTTGTCGTAAGGTTTGCTCATAAACCGAACCTTACTGCGAATTTTTAGATATAAGAAACGAGAGGAAAAAAAAATCATGCAACTTAATTATGCCGGTCTCAAGCTGTGAATTGCCCCTTCCTAAAGTATGGTTCTAGCTTACATTATCCTATAATTGTTATTACTTCTTACTTATACTTAAAGTCTAACAAATATTAATTTTTATACTCGAAAATATTACCTATTATGTCTGACATACAGGGAGTTCTGCCTACATCAATATACGACTTTTTAGCCAAGGCTGGTAAAACAGACAACAACATAGACTTGTGTGGATTATTGGTTCGATCTGCAGTAGACAGTTTAACATAGAAACATCATTGAAGATTAATTAACTTATAATAATCAACATTCAATGAATGAACATGGTAAGAACATTTCTACGGCTTAACACAATGTTCAAAATTTATTAAAGAAATGCACCAAAACCTAATTATAAAGAGAGAGTTTTCTTATCTCCGCAGTGTTTTTATACGTTGCGCAAGGGATGAAGAATCAGAATTCAGAATTATAAATAAAGCATTAAAGTCAATTATATGGCATGTAATTGGTTGTCAAAACCAATATTTTTTATTCGAATGTAACGCTTTCCATTTAATTAGCATACATTTTGATTAAATTCAATATGTCTTTATTTAACTGGTACATGTAATACTATAAGTTTGCATTTAAATGAAACATTTTTCATTAAATTGATATATATATATATATATATATATATAAACATTTTATTAAAATGCAATATTTTGTTTGTTCAATAACATGTATTATTTGACATTTTTCATTTAATTCCAAAAAGAGTCTTGTGATACCTCATCCTACGTCGTGAATAAATTTCAGATGTGAATATACATGTATAGCTTAACAATATAGCAGTGAGCAAGAACCTAAACGTGTGAGAACCAAGAGAGGGGGTGTTTTAGGCTGTCATTTTGAAGCAAGCGTGTATATTTGTATTTACTTAAGTGCGACGTGCACTTGATGAAAAAACTTGTGATTATTTTTACGAATCTTTCAATCTTATAAAATAAATATGTGAATAAATACCTACCAATTGAATTTGACATGAATGATATCCCAGCATCTGACAGTGATTCCAATGATTTATTGTTGCTTGCAAATATTGCCTGATTAAAGTAAAATATATTTTTAATAGGACAAAGTTCAAAAAGAAGACTAGCTAAAATACGTAAAATCTCGTTTTTAATAATACAAAAAAATCTTCCGAGTGTTGTCTTAAATGCGAAAAAAATCATCATTGTGTAAAATGTCATGAATATTGAATATCATAAATAAGCTACGTAACTATTATTTTATAAGTGTGACCTTAAATGTATATATACTAGTCAAAAAAAGTAACGATACACAAGTTTGAAGTCCAATTTATCATAAAATATAATAAATAGGAAAAACTATTAAAATTATCCAATAAAAAACATTCATTTGCAAAGCAAATGCATATGATTAAAAGAATCTGACCAAATCGGAAAGTGAGAAAATACCGTGTTATTTCACATAGGGGTCAAATTTATTTTGCGGAAAATGATGACAAAAGTCGGCACTTAATTTCGAAGATGAGAATTAAGTATTCAAATATCTGCAAAGGCATTCAAAATTTTATGCAGACCATGTTTAAGTTTAAAGTTTCAAGTTCTAATATCGATTTTTGAATTTTTGGGTGAAAATACGGTTTTTTGAAATAACAAAAATTGCAACAACAAAAATTCGCGTATTTGCCTTAAAACAATGGTTTTGATAAGAAAATAACACTCTGTAAATACTAGACCAATTGGGCAATTATTTACCTTGGTACAGTGTATCCGATTTCATTAGATATGGAAAATACATTGTCGTGTATCGTTTCTTTTGTTGACTAGTATATATATATATACAAGTCTAAATTGAAAACAACGTTCAAACTTATGATTGCGTTGGATAAAATGACTATATATATACAACCAAGTCTAAATTGAAAACAACGTTCAAACCTATGATTGCGTTGGATAAAAATCGCAATTTTTATACGTGTGCATGCAAAACAAATTTCTTGGTAGAGGGGTCTAAATACAGCACAAACAACATTTTCCAAAAGACTAAATGAGTGAAAAAGTATATTTTAACAAAACGCATTTGACTAGCAGGTCGAACAATTGATGTTCTTAAACCCTGCTGACTGCCATTGGCGATTGCCAAATAAACGGATCACAAGATGTAACAAAATAGATCTTATTATTAATTTATTACCAAACAGAAAACAATAAACTATTTTTTTTCTTTTTTTTTTTCCCCAACTTTCAATATTTTATTTCACTACTGGTTGTGAACAATGTCCCTTAGCTCTACATAGCCAGAAATTAGTAGTACTTTTGCTAATAAATATTCATAATATGTAAATGAGAATTGTACCACGTGATAATAGTTTAAACTGGACTGGCTTGATATCATTAAAATCTTTAAAACACGGACATTACAATTTGCTCGTCACAGAGTCCTTGTTTATAATCACTCTGATATTTCCGTAAAGTTGTCAGGCGGTCAAAATCAAAACAATGAACGCGAATTTAGTGAATTTTTCGTGTTTACGTGAGTTTATTCTTCTTGAAATAGGGGCATTTTAACTTTACGTGGGAACCTAGAGTTCAACGACTACACATACAAGGTTTGGACTTGCTTATTCTTTGGACATTCAAGTTTCAAGTTTCATCCCCGCAACCTGTTTTTGTAATGACCTTGTTAGCCAATTTATAACACGAAGTTTGCAAATTTGACGTTTCAGCCATTTTAGCCTGTATTTTATACTGCAATGTTAAAAGCCCTTCGCTTCGATTTTTAAAATAGCTCAGGAACCTTGATTTTTGCAACGACAGTCATTATGTTTCGTTTAAATGGTGTATATTGTTGTGTATATTTATTTTCTGTCCCCGCAACCTGTCTATCACTTAAATTAAAGTTAAAACAGACCATTTTTTTCAAAATTCCCTATCATTTCAATATAATTTCCGTGACCCGTATCCGATTTCTTTAGTATAATATTCAAATAAGCAAAGTGGCGTTGATTTCTGGATATGACAACAAAGACGCTAAGGTTCCTCCCTGTGATATTAATTGCTAATGAAACAAGGGGATTTAATTAAAAAAATAGATCATATATTTATATTCTGTGTTAGTTGCATTTTACAAAGTATTCATACGTGCACACAATACATTTACATTACTCAGTTATCCTATATACAAACAATCATATGAGAAAGAAAAAAACCCGGATTGTTGTCCGTCATTTGTTTTGATATAAAAAATCTAGTTTAAACCGAAAGTAGAATTTACCAAACAAGCATGGTTGACCACATGGCTAGACAAATAATTTCATGAAATGGTAAGTAGTTTATTATAGTCATCAAGTCAATTATCTAATGTGTAAATTTTTAAACTTAGAATAATCGAATATTTCAGGTAAGTAAAAAATGAAGTATATAAAGGAGATCAAAGAAGGAGCTATTGACCCCTTTTGATTTATATATTGATTTATTGATTGATTGATTCTTTGTTGTTTAAATACTTGATTTAAGGTATAATTCTCATAGAAAACAATTAACTTGCGGAAAATATGGCATACCGCAAACATGAGGTGCAAAATTTTGTACACCATATCCGGATTTCGACAATTAATGTCTCTTCAGTGATGTTAGGAGTCGATACGGTATTTGGAGGGACATATAATTTACCTGAATTTAGGATAGACTCTTGAATTTTAAAAGAGTCAAAATAGGATGTACGGATCATATAAACCCGAAGGCAAATATAATACAAGCCCAACGAAAAAATATAAACAAGCCTAAATTGAAAACAACGTTCAAACCTATGATTGTGTTGGATAAAAACCGCAATTTTTATACGTGTGCATGCAAAACAAATTTCTTGGTATACATATATATATATATATATGTATGTCTGCCTATGTGTAGTGACAACTGTAAATTATACCTTGTCCATCGGATTTCTTATGATTAAGAAATACCCGGCTTTAGAATATTTATAAAGTGCCTAGAAAATCAACCTAACAATGTTAGAGTAGATTTGATTCATTACTTCCTCCCCGTCCGGGGCTGGAACCTGTACTTTTCACTTCATACTTCTATTTTGCGGAAAATGATGACACAAGACGGCACTTAATTTCGAAGATGAGAATTAAGTATTCAAATATCTGCAAAGGCATTCAAAATTTTATGCAGACCATGTTTAAGTTTAAAGTTTCAAGTTCTAATATCGATTTTTGAATTTTTGGGTGAAAATACGTTTTTTTGAAATAACAAAAATTGCAACAACAAAAATTCGCGTATTTGCCTTAAAACAATGGTTTTGATAAGAAAATAACACTCTGTAAATATTAGACCAATTGGGCAATTATTTACCTTGGTACAGTGTATCCGATTTCATTAGATATGGAAAATACATTGTCTTGTATCGTTTCTTTTGTTGACTAGTATATATATATATACAAGTCTAAATTGAAAACAACGTTCAAACTTATGATTGCGTTGGATAAAATGACTATATATATACAACCAAGTCTAAATTGAAAACAACGTTCAAACCTATGATTGCGTTGGATAAAAATCGCAATTTTTATACGTGTGCATGCAAAACAAATTTCTTGGTAGAGGGGTCTATATACAGCACAAACAACATTTTCCAAAAGACTAAATGAGTGAAAAAGTATATTTTAACAAAACGCATTTGACTAGCAGGTCGAACAACTGATGTTCTTAAACCCTGCTGACTGCCATTGGCGATTGCCAAATAAACGGATCACAAGATGTAACAAAATAGATCTTATTTTTAATTTATTACCAAACAGAAAACAATAAACTATTTTTTTTCTTTTTTTTTTCCTCAACTTTAAATATTTTATTTCACTACTGGTTGTGAACAATGTCCCTTAGCGCTACATAGCCAGAAATTAGTAGTACTTTTGCTAATTAATATTCATAATATGTAAATGAGAATTGTACCACGTGATAATAGTTTAAACTGGACAGGCTTGATATCATTAAAATCTTTAAAACACGGACATTATAAGTTGCCCGTCACAGAGTCCTTGTTTATAATCACTCTGATATTTCCGGAAAGTTGTCAGGCGGTCAAAATCAAAACAATGAACGCAAATTTAGTGAATTTTTCGTGTTTTCGTGAGTTTATTCTTCTTGAAATAGGGGCATTTTAACTTTACGTGGGAACCTAGAGTTCAACGACTACACATACAAGGTTTGGACTTGCTTATTCTTTGGACATTCAAGTTTCAAGTTTCATCCCCGCAACCTGTTTTTGTAATGACCTTGTTAGCCAATTTTCAACACGAAGTTTGCAAATTTGAGGTTTCAGCCATTTTAGCCTGTATTTTATACTGCAATGTTAAAAGCCCTTCGCTTCGATTTTTAAAATAGCTCAGGAACCTTGATTTTTGCAACGACAGTCATTATGTTTCGTTTAAATGGTGTATATTGTTGTGTATATTTATTTTCTGTCCCCGCAACCTGTCTATCACTTAAATTAAAGTTAAAACAGACCATTTTTTTCAAAATTCCCTATCATTTCAATATAATTTCCGTGACCCGTATCCGATTTCTTTAGTATAATATTCAAATAAGCAAAGTGGCGTTGATTTCTGGATATGACAACAAAGACACTAAGGTTCCTCCCTGTGATATTAATTGCTAATGAAACAAGGGGATTTAATTAAAAAAATAGATCATATATTTATATTCTGTGTTAGTTGCATTTTACAAAGTATTCATACGTGCACACAATACATTTACATTATTCAGTTATCCTATATACAAACAATCCTATGAGAAAGAAAAAAACCCGGATTGTTGTCCGTCATTTGTTTTGATATAAAAAATCTAGTTTAAACCGAAAGTAGAATTAACCAAACAAGCATGGTTGACCACATGGCTAGACAAATAATTTCATGAAATGGTAAGTAGTTTATTATAGTCATCAAGTCAATTATCTAATGTGTAAATTTTTAAACTTAGAATAATCGAATATTTCAGGTAAGTAAAAAATGAAGTATATAAAAGAGATCAAGGAAGGAGATATTGACCCCTCTTGATTGATATATTGATTTATTGATTCTTTGTTGTTTAAATACTTGATTTAAGGTATAATTCTCATAGAAAACAATAAACTTGCGGAAAATATGGCATATCGCAAACATGAGGTGCAAAATTTTGTACACCATATCCGGATTTCGACAATTAATGTCTCTTCAGTGATGTTAGGAATCGATACGGTATTTGGAGGGACATATAATTTACCTGAATTTAGGATAGACTCTTGAATTTTAAAAGAGTCAAAATAGGATGTACGGATCATATAAACCCGAAGGCAAATATAATACAAGCCCAACGAAAAAATATAAACAAGCCTAAATTGAAAACAACGTTCAAACCTATGATTGTGTTGGATAAAAACCGCAATTTTTATACGTGTGCATGCAAAACAAATTTCTTGGTATACATATATATATATATGTTTGTCTGCCTATGTGTAGTGACAACTGTAAATTATACCTTGTCCATCGGATTTCTTATGATTAAGAAATACCCGGCTTTAGAATATTTATAAAGTGCCTAGAAAATCAACCTAACAATGTTAGAGTAGATTTGATTCTTTACTTCCTCCCCGTCCGGGGCTGGAACCTGTACTTTTCACTTCATACTTCTACGACAACACCGCCTAGCATTGCGCAGACACCTTATTCCCTCCTCTAACTATAGCTGATAAAAATCAGCTTTCGTTTCGGGAGGTGGTACCTATATATATATATATATATTATCTCAATTGATATAAATATGAAATAAAATGTTCTTTGTCTTAAATTTGAAGGTTATAATATTTTTTTCATCCAGGTTCAAATTGTCCAAAACATAATCTGTCTCCAACTGCTCTGGGAACTGCTTGATAACCACATTTCAAAGCTTACACATTTTTGTGACTGAACAACTTATTACCGGCTGATTATGTTTGAATTACCTGTACTGCTAAAGCTGTAGAATATTCATTGCCGTATAATCCTTTACTATCGCGTTTTTGTAGAATATATTCTAATGCTGCCTTTGATTGTGTAGAATATGCAGCATCATTGACACAAGCATAAGCTAAATATACCATTGCAGCTTCGTCTGAAATTAAGCGATTTAACAAATGCAACCGTTTATCATACTGCTAAAAATTTAAAAAAAAACTATTACATAATAACAATATTGACTTATTATGTTTAGATTTCCCCAATTTTAACATATATTTGTTACTCATACATGCTGTTTTTCTTCTTATCAAAATAAACTGAATTTGTAGAAAACCGAGTAAAAGAATTATTTGTACATGACAGTGAATAGCCACGAATGTTAATGTGAAAATGAAATATATTTAAAAGTATGTATTGAAAATTCAAAAATAAAGATAATTTTCTTACGAAAATTTAATTTAGTAAAAATATTTTTCTCTTTAATAACGAGGCCTGATATTTTCAATCTTCATAGGAATGTGGAATAGGAACCGAATTATAAAGACTGGTTAGTTCACATACATTTGGGATAAGTTCTAACCTCTTTCTAGAACTGTTCTCCCTTATAACTAGTACTTTTCTAGTGTAGAAAACTGTCAGAATCAGTTATAATGTGAAACTGTCTAGTAATACGTTTTTATTGTAGACTATCTAAAACTTTTCAGTTAGAACTGTCTAGATCAGAGCTAGGTTAGTATTGTCCAAATCTATTCTAGGGTATAACTGTTCGAATCAGTTATAGGGTAGAACTGTCCAACATTTATATAGTAGAAATTTCAGAATATGTTCTAGGTTAGAACTGCCAAAAACTGTTAAGAAACCGTTCTAAAGGAATCAGCCGAACTGTTCTACATACTTTTTTTGAACAGTTCTCCTTACAGTTTCTGTCAGATTTTAAGAAAGGTTAGAACTGGTCCAACCTTAACATAATTGCAATGATACCATCGATTAAACATTTTTGACACCACTTTCATCTTCTCTGAAAGAACATAGTTTACCCGAACCAAGTACTAAAAATAATTGATGTTAACTTAAAAATTACTAGAGAACTCTTTATGATAAAAAAAGTTCATATTAAATGAACTGAAAAAACTTACTGACAAATTATTTATTCTGTTTGATAAACCTCCTAGTCTGAAACCAAAAAAAACCGAATTGTTGTCCGTCATTTGTTTTGATTTAAAAAAATCTAGTTTAAACCGAAAGTAGAATTTACCAAACAAGCAGGTGGCACGGTTGTATTTCCTGGCCCATAAGGGATAATGATAGCCTTTTTAGAATTTTCCCCACTTTCTAACACTGCTAAAAATTCTACATTCACAGTTAACTGAAGTACTTTCATTTTACTATTCAGAAATGAATTTGAATATGTATCATGACCGTTTACTTTTTTTCCTATCTTTAAGAACCTAAGGCCACTAGTGCTTTTAGGTCTTTTATCGTACAGTGAATACAAAATTAAAAAAAAATCTCAAAAATTCATTTTCATCTGTATGTAAAATTATTTCATATTTTCTACACCTGATTCATCCCTCAGTTTGGGAAAGTATGTTCAGTTGATACTGTATTTTTTGTCCAGTCATAATGTTCAGATACATTGACTTAAGTAGGGTACACAAAAGAGCAACCTAAATTCTGGAATGCAAATACTACCGTGCTACCTTAACCAAGACATTTCAAACTTGAAATCAGTCATGACACCTATGATGCATAGCCTTCTTACTATGTAACATATTACAATAAAGAATACTAGTCTGCACTTATTTCTTACCAAAAAAAAAATGAAAGATTACACCCCTACCCCAGCTGGCAGATTTTCACTTTTTTATCAATTTACCATTTTTACTTAAGGAGTGAACAAAATCCAAATATATGATGTTTCAAATCAACACAGAAGTCAAACATGGTGATTCAGGAGGAATTATTGGATTGCCAACTCTATTTATAGTTAATCTGACTGAAAGAAACAGTTTAAGCACCAAATCATGAAAAATGATATTAAAGTCCATTCCACATTTTACAGCATGCCTGACATTACTTTAAGCATTTCCAGATTATGAAGGCAACACAACAATGCAAGATTCTTTAGATGACAGTTAACTATTATTCTAAAATCTTTTTGACAATACATGTACTAGAATATATCTCTAAGTTGACTGTTTGTCTATTTCTTATGTATGCATTAAGTTAAATTATGTTCCCTTACATAATCATTTTACCTTTATTGTGCTTTTCATTGTCAGAAAATCAAAACAATTAATGAAATTTGCATGGAAAATGAATAAACTATTTAATCTTGCTGATAAACAATCATAATTACATTCTTTGTAAAAAAAAATGTCTTGTCAGTGTAAAGAAACCCCTATTGCTATCTCTATTTCAGCAAAATATCAGGTCTAAATGAATAAGTAACGACCCCTTAACCACTTGCAGGTTCCTAAAAAGCTCATATTGGTGTCATGTTACCACAAAACTACAAATTAAACCTAAAGAAAACTAGTAAAGCTGTACTTTTGTGGAAAAAAAAACAGAAATTAAGCAATTTATTTATTTCTGTGAAAATAATAGGATGTACAGGCAAATAAAATATGTCGCGTCTCAAATTCCAGTGGTTGCACATGTGTCAGACACTGCGAAAAGTTAAAGCGAGCATTTATAATTAAAAACGTATTGCAAGTTACATAAAAATAATGAAGTTTCTACTTTCTATGTAAATTTTTACTTTATTACCCACATATCAGGCAAAATTTGCTGAATCAGCAATTTTCACCCCCAGGGTCGGAATTTAAGGACTGTTTTTATCATAGTTGCACTTAATCAACTTTTTATTGATACACTTACAAATTGCATAGGTAAAAAAAATCCTTCATTGATTTAGTGTAAACATGTATATCCCCCCTAAGGTGGCACGGTAGTATTTCCTGGCCCATAAGGGATAATGATAGCCTTTTTAGAATTTTCACCACTTTCTAACACTGCCAAAAATTCTACATTCACAGTTAACTGAAGTACTTTCATTTCACTATTCAGAAATGAATTTGAATATGTATCATGGCCGTTTACTTTTTTCCCTATCTTTTAGAACCTAAGGCCACTAGTGCTTTTAGGTCTTTTATCGTGCAGTGAATACAAAATTAAAAAAAATTCTCAAAAATTCATTTTCATCTGTATGTAAAATTGTTTCATATTTTTCTACACCTGATTCATCCCTCAGTTTGGGAAAGTATGTTCAGTTGATACTGTATTTTTTTCCAATCATAATGTTCAGATACATTGACTTAAGTAGGGTACACAAAAGAGCAACCTAAATTCTGGAATGCAAATACTACCGTGCTACCAGCATGGTTGACCACATGGCTAGACAAATAATTTCATGAAATGGTAAGTAGTTTATTATAGTCATCAAGTCAATTATTTAATGTGTAAATTTTTAAACTTAGAATAATCGAATATTTCAGGTAAGTAAAAATGAAGTATATAAAAGAGATCAAGGAAGGAGCTATTGACCCCTCTTGATTGATATATTGATTTATTGATTGATTGATTCTTTGTTGTTTAAATACTTGATTTAAGGTATAATTCTCATAGAAAACAATAAACTTGCGGAAAAGATGGCATACCGCAAACATGAGATGCAAAAATTTGTACACCATATCCGGATTTCGACAATTAATGTCTCTTCAGTGATGTTAGGAATCGATATATTGACTTATTATGTTTAGATTTCCCCGATTTTAACATATATTTGTTACTCATACATGCTGTTTTTTCTTCTAATCAAAATAAACTGATTTTGTAGAAAACCGAGTAAAAGAATTATTTGTATATGACAGTGAATAGCCACGAATGTTAATGTGAAAATGAAATATATTTAAAAGTATGTATTGAAAATTCAAAAATAAAGATAATTTTCTTACGAAAATTTAATTTAGAAAAAATATTTTCCTCTTTAATAACGAGGCCTGATATTTTCAATCTTCATAGGAATGTGGAATAGGAACCGAATTATAAAGACTGATTAGTTCACATATATTTGGGATAAGTTCTAACCTCTTTCTAGAACTGTTCTCCCTTATAACTAGTACTTTTCTAGTGTAGAAAACTGTCAGAATCAGTTATAATGTGAAACTGTCTATTAATACGTTTTTATTGTAGACTATCTAAAACTTTTCAGTTAGAACTGTCTAGATCAGAGCTAGGTTAGTATTGTCCAAATCTATTCTAGAGTATAACTGTTCGAATCGGTTATAGGGTAGAACTGTCCAACATTTATATAGTAGAAATGTCAGAATATCTGAAAGAACATAGTTTACCTGAACCAAGTACTAAAAATAATTGATGTTAACTTAAAAATTACTAGAGAACTCTTTATGATAAAAATAGTTCATATTAAATGAACTGAAAAAACTTACTGACACATTTTTTATTCTGTTTGATTAACCTCCTAGTCTGAAACTACAAGACCAAATCCTTTTGGGTTACAGAAAAAACGATGCACGACTTTGACACGCCTTACAAATAATCCGGATCTAGGATGATTTGATAGCAAAAACACCTATAGGTTCCAACTAACCCTATCGGAACACATGCATATATCTGACATAACATGGTTTATCTAAAGCAAACTAAGTCCGAAAACGTCTAGACTGTCCTGATAAAAAACATAATGATTATTTTCGTGCGCACTGCATGAGTTCATGGGCAAATCTTTATCAGATACGCTGGAGACCAAGCCTTTTTGTTATTTTAGACAGCAGGAACAATAATAATAATAATCATAATAACAATAACAATAATAATATAAATTCATATACATCAAGTCAATCTAAGGTACTACAAATTAAGAGACCGGTTTTTGTAAACTCCAACTCATCTGACAACAAAATGGCTTACAGCCAAGTGGTTTGTATCTGTTTGGCACAATATGTATTTTCGTAATTTTACCATTTTTATAATGTTTTGAGCAAGTACAACTAACTTCCGAGAGCATCAAAGTTTAAAAACAATTATAGAAAATATATTTAAGCAACAACGTACCTTAATGAATCAAAATTGTATTCATGATATTAGCATATAAAAATTATAGACTGGAAAGTATATATTTTTTCATAATGTTTACTTATTGTTATCACACGATTGGCGTCTAACTACCAATGATACTTACCAACACCGAATGTATAGATGCCTGGTGATGTTGAAATATCTTTCAAATAAGCTGCATCTACAGTAGAGTTCGCGTTACATAATGCCAGGACAACAAGTGCATATGCAAACTTGTTGCTATGAAAATGTTGCGAAGATACGTTTAGATGGTTCTGTAGTTTATCTATCAAGTTATGTCCATAGAAGTTTCTTGGGTCTTGACAGGTAGCTGTTAGTCCTAGGACGTAATGGGCTAATTTGCCGTGGCCCCATGCCGGATTTGTTAGTGCTATATTGCTGTAAAAAGATGACAATCTGTTTTATGAGATCTTAATTCAGAGGGTTTTTTTAAATTAAATTGTTTAGACTTCCGAGATGTCGAGACAAACACAAATATCTGGTTATATATAGTGATGGATATTTATTCAATGAAATCCCACTTAAAACAATCGGGAATCCAATTGATTACCAGGTACTTAAAACAGGGGTTTGTTTTTGTGCTAAAAAATGTATTCAACAAATTGTTAATTTTGGTTATCAGAAAGTGCTTCAAGAGTAGTGAAGATTTGTAATTAAATCGTTAAATGATTTTGGACGTCATCAGATAATCTTAAAGACCGCGTTATCACGTCCATATATGGTAAATGTGGTATATACGTCAATAAAACAGCTAACATACACGAAGAAAGAAAAGAAAAACAAAGAAATCAAAGCCAAAAGAGACATCAGACGTCAACATTGATTACGTAGTCCAATGAAAGTATATTGTTCTTTCCAAATAACGTTTCGCTTGACAAATACGTTTTTCCACGCACCAACTATATATGTAAACTGAGTGATCCGTAGATATGGTGTATGTGATATATTGTTTGTATTTCCAAAGGCAATTGTAATAATACTCAGGGAAGTAGAACAAGCAACAGCTTAACGAAAGAAAAATACAGCAAAAACATTTCCTTCACACAGTACGTGAAAACTAAAATAAACACTTTCCGATAGAAAGAACGTGTCGCCATGAGGCTTGTCTTAAGGAACTAAACAAGCATCGCACTTTTACGGGCCGCGGAAACTGGTCATCAATAGACCTGTTCGTACGTATTTATTATAATACTTTAGTTAAATAAGTTCCTTCAAACTTGTAAATAAAAACAATAAAAAGATTCCAACAAATGTCAAATAAATAAATGAGCTCAAATTTTTATACACTATGTAAATACTAATGAAACATTACAAATGTAAATGAAATGTTATCAAGCAAATTAATACACACCTAGAACTGTTTTTTTGTCTTTTCGTAATTTTTTTGTTTTTTTGCCATGGTGTTGTCAGTTTGTTTTTCGACTTATGAGTTTGAATATTCCTTTCGTATCTTTCGCTTCTCTTTTGAAATATGATATATTGTTATTTTTATTTTGTGAACTGCTAAACAGATGAAGCTATAAATAGTAACCACTCAATATGATTTCATGCAGATATGAGAAACTTTCATACTTGCTGATTGCAGATAGCAAATCCAGGTTCATTTGTTTCACACTTATATAAGAGGTGGGATCTTTCTTTGAAAACCATGCATCATTCGCCAAATGAAGTGCAATTATTGCTTCAGCCTCAGAACGCTCTCCCCATCCCCATTCAGCATTTCTTTGTTCAAGAAGCATACGAGTGCCATCATTTACTGCACATTGTCTAACTGTAATAATAATTAAAATAAAACAAATTATCTTACTACACTGTATACACTATATATCAAACACTATATAATACTTAACACCAAATTAACACTCTACACTCAAAATTGGTCGTTGTATCGGTTAGTCTATGAAAAGGTATATACTATGAAATTTAGAGCGAGGGGCTTGCTCCGAGCACTTAGTTTCATAGTATATACCTGTTCATAGACTATCCAATTTAGCACATACTTACAACTCAAGTAATCTTTTAATTGGTCTATTCATAGTTTATTTTGGCTGACTACTTGTATCCCAGGTGTTTGTAAAACGGAGTTCATTAAAGAAGTTTTATGCTTTGTAAATCTACTCACTAGTATCATAGTAAAATATGTGATTTCAAAAGGCTCTTGACTCCAGAATGAAAAGATGGTAGATGCTGGTGTAAGTATGTATATTGATATAAAGCGGTATTTTTACTACATGTACTTCTTTACATGGTAAGAGGACAAAATAAATTGACCAAAAGCAGGCAATAATTAAATTGCAGTGGAAGCTTTACATGTTTTGAAAACATTTTTCAAGTTCACAGTAAACCTAAAGCAATAATAAATTTGAAACATATACACAGTATGTCCCCATAGATAGTCTAGCGGATAGGCATTAAAAAGCAACTACCAATAGATCAAAGATTATAGGTTTTTTTTATTTCAAAGTAAAAACTAAAAGATTTATCAGAATATGTATATATATATATAGGTGGCACATTCCCCCCTTCAGAAATCATCATGGTTTTTCAATTCATGACATCGTCCCGAACATGCATGAAATATTTGCCACTTGACATTAAGCAACCAACAATCAATCAATCAATCTATTCATGACGAAATATATCAATTTCCTTAAGAAAGTTAAAAAAAGAATCATCAACAAGTTGCCTTAATTTCCCTTCACAAGGTTTCATAGTACACACTTTTTTGTGTACAAAGTAATTGCATGGATGATAAATTACCACAATTTTAAGATAGCGTTGTACTCTAATCAAGGTATTAAGGACCATATTTGTTACTCTTTATTTAAATGAAAGAAACTTGCAATTGTCAAAAACATTTTTTAGATCCAAAGATTTTAATAGCATGATATTTAGAAATCATTGTGATAACTAATTTCAGACTATTTAATTTAATTTGGTACACATCATTTTATTTCAAAATAGCCAGTAACAATTTTTGTTTTAATGTCTTGATTACGATACAATAAAATCTTACCATTGTGGTCATTCATGCGTAGTTACTTAGTACACGGAAAAAGTATGTACTATGAAAGTTAGAAGGCAAATTCAAGCAATTTCATTGGACGAGAAGTTGTAAGTATGTGCTAAGAAATATTTTTTTTTCACAATGCTTCCTCCATAAATATAAAACGCCTAAAGGACGTGATAAATTATTCATTCAAACAGCTATTGAACCTTCAGGTCAAACAGAATTTTCTACAAATTGTACATTAAGTCTAATAAAAAGTTAAATCACAAAAATACTGAAATCCGAGGAAAATTCAAAACGGAAAGTCCCTAATCAAATGGCAAAATCAAAAGCACAAACACATCAAACGAATGGACAACAACTGTCATATTCCTTACTTGGTACAGGCATTTTCTTATAGTAATTAATGGTGAATTCCCGAAGTGTATATATTCGGCTGGTCATGTTTAGTTATTTGCCTAAACATAGTATCCGTTTAAATCTCTATTTTTTCAAATTCATAAATTATTCTATTTGTTAGATTTGTCTACTTTCATTCGCCGGAATGCAACAACAACAACACAATGCCTGTATTAATATACGCGCTTACTTAACGATAAATATGTATAATATTGGCAACACTAGATGGTAATATATACTCTTTGTGAACATAAGCGTTAAAATGCTATTTGTTTTCGCAAAAGTGTTGTATTTCTGTTTTAAATATTTGATAAAGAGTCTGCGAGCCAGACATTCCAACAGACAACGGTATATCAATGAACGTTTATTGTGCGTCCCTGCAAGCTAACTTGCTGTCGTACTTGTATGAAACAGATTTTATAGAAACAAAACTAAAATATTTTTGTCTCAACATATGTAAACTACCTTCATATACTGATTGTCGTCTTCAATTACTTTTCAGTACCTATTCTACAACCATCTTTATTTCCAAATTTTGTCAAAACGCACATACTATGACTATCTGATGGACATTACATTTTTCGTTTAACAATTACATTTGAACACTCGATGATAGTCCAAATCCAAGGATCAATATAAAAGAACGACATTTTTAGTGCTTGTGTCATGAACATATTCATACCTTTGTCTCCGGTGAGAATTCGACTGCTGCATGCGGTATGATTTCCTCCTTCTACAAAAAAAGCATTTGGATAAGGCGCATCGTGATTAAATGAGTCTTTAGTGCAAGAACGTATATGATAAATAGAAGCTTATCATATTTGGTAGCAGAATAGATTTACAACATCAATGTGATAGCTGAAGAGAATTAAACCAGAAACCGTACATTACAAGATATCACCTGGTTTAATTTGATATAATAGTGTATATTTTGTCTGAACAAGATTGATCAAATCTTATGATGTACTATTTGTTTTGAATGTTACATGATTGACTGGAGTAGACCAACGAACCTTTGATGGCTCTTTCATTTTTTTAGACGTTGACAATAGTTGACGATTTTTTTTTAGTCTTTCGTATATAGATATGTTGGTATTATTCATTTTAACACAGCACACAATCATGTAAATATAGAAAATATATGGATTCAATATCAACCAAACAGGCTAACGTTGTCAATTTCGGGTGGTAGTATTTTGTTTCTTATATTTTACTTGCACTTTATTCAAGTGATGTTTACTATAAGCTATTATATTGCAGTTTGTTTTAATGAAGTAACGATTGTTAAAATATTTGCATTTATGCATATTCAAAAGCTTAACTTTTGTTCGAAAAGTTCGAAGTTAAAAAAAAACACCTAAAAATTTTAAAACTATGAAATAAAAAAGCACTAAATTCGCTATTTCATCAGAGATATTAGGAAGAAGAACTAATATCAGTTTTTATAATTTATATTATAACTGTTATACTTTGTTTTAATTAGAAAGAACGACTGATATGAAAACATCACAAGCTAACCGGAAGTCATTATAAATTTATCGTTTCGGTTTTCTAAATTAATTTAGATCTATCTCACATGACTGTGGTCTTTGCTTTGACTCACTCCTTTGGAGTTCATGCTATCCCCTCAATGTCTGTTTTCGTCCTTGATTTGTTTCTTCTTAATAAATTTATTTGAACATCAGTAAAAATGTTTTAACAAAAATACCGAACCCGAGGGTAAATTTAAAAAGAAGGAAACCATAAATCCGGACAAAACCAAATGCTGACTATATCAACCAACGAAACGATTGCAAAACAACTGTTACCTCTAAGTTGACTCTGATTCTATTTTGCTGTAAAAGATCGTCTGACAGGGGGTGCACTCATAACAGGAGAACTCATAAATGTCCGTTTAAATTTGGAGTTCAAACGATTTCCTAATTCAAAAACAAATTCACATAACTCATAATTGAATGTGATTTAACTCGCAATCTGAAAATAATTAACATATACCTTTAGATAGAAGAAAACATCCAGCCATTTGAATCAAGATGATAAGGGTGGCAATTTCTTTAAACATTTCTACAAGGATCTAAAATTAACAACAACAGCAGTTTAACATAAAGTAATTTAAAATGAATTTTGAAGATTTAATATACACAACCGCCAACTGTCAAAGATCGCTAATGTTTTTAGTTATAACAATTATTCAATCAAAAAGATTTTAATATAGGAATTTTGAATATTTAAAGTTGTTTCGAATCATAAATTAATGTTGCTTTCTTCTCATCTGTTTTTAATTACTTACTGAAAAACACAAGGCATTAGCAGACAAACGTAACACTGTTTTGGTAATTATATTACAGTGACAACCCTATGTTTTGTTTGCGATAAATCACGCGTGATTCATTTGAAGGAAACATTGTTTATGTTTGTTTTATATAATAAAAAGTTAAAAGTGTATAAAACAAACTTCTTAGAATAGACATAAAATACTATTGGATTAGTCATTACAACCCTGCGTGTGTCTTTCTTTCTCCAGACAGTAATACCGAATAATATGGAACGCCACAGCTGTCTTATGTGGAACTCTGATATTTCTTTATGTTGTTTTATTATTACTTGATGATATGTTGTCTTTACTTAATATGGTTTTGACATTACGTAATGATGTTTTGATATAACTCAATATGGAAAAGTCATTACTTAATGATATTTCGATATTACACGATATGGTTTCGTATTGACTTGATATAGTTTTGTCATTACTCAATATGGTTTTGTCATTACTCGATGTGGTTTCACCATTATTTAATGTGGTTGTGTCATTAGTCAATGTGGTTTTAACATTACTTGATGTGAATGTGACTTAACGTTATGTAGTTGTTTCATTACATGATGTGGTTTTGTTATTTTGTAATGATGATTTGCCTATTCTTTATATGGTTTTAACATTACGTAATGATGTTTTAAAATTTGACGATTTTACACTACATGATGTGTTTGTTTCATTATTTGATGTGGTCCTGTCATTCTTTGATGTGGTTATCCCATTACTTGATGAGGTAAAATGACGTGACCAATTCGGAAAAACCTGTTCTATTTTTAGATAGATTTCCATGTTGTATGTGCCTTGGATGAGTGTGGCCATCCATCGAATTAGAGTTCAAATTAAAGTTCGGGTTACTGTTTGAGTTAAACTTTGAGTTAGTCTTCGATTTCGAATTCAAGTCATTATTAGAATTAAAGTTTTAGTTAGGGAGCTACCATTTGATTTTTATGGGGGGCTAGGATGAAATTTTTAAAAAAAAGGCAGGACAGGAGTTTTGAGTAAAAAAAAAGGCAGGATGAGCAACTTGGCAAAAAAAAAAGGCAGGATGACAATTTATGAAAAAAACCAAGGATAAACTATTAAAAAAAAGGCAGGACCGAATAGAGAAAAAAATAAAAATGCAGGACAGAGATTACTACTAAAAAAAAAATGCAGGACAAAATTTTTCATCCTAGCCCCCCCCCCCCCATAAAAATCAAATGGTAGCTCCCTTAGCATTGAGTTTCGAGTTGGACTTCGAGTTTGAGTCACATTAAACTGAGGTAGAGTTCTAGTTACAACATTAAATTTGAGTCACTTTTTGAGGTAGAGTTTGAGTAAGATTCGAATTTAAGTCTCATTTAGATTAATTAAGATTTTGAGTTGAAATTCGAGCTATCTTATATGAGTTCGTAATTAAATTTTCTATCGCGGAACAAGGACTTTTGCTCGGGCTTCCGAAAAGAGGGCTCCGGGGTATGCGTATAAAAGATGTTACAGTATACAAAACGCAACATAGAAGTTGAAATAAAGTTAGATGTGGTGTGATTGACAATGAGACAACTATCCATCAGAGTTTAAATGCAGTGGATGTAAGAAATCATATATAGGCAACCGTACAGCCTTCAACACACCGTATAGTCAGCTACAAAAGGCCACCATGCAACATGTGAAAAAATTCAAACGAAAAAACAAACGGTCTTTTTTATAAATAAACAATTTACAAAAAAAAAATGACACACATTTATACAACGACAACAATTGAACTTCATGCTCCTGACTTGGGGCAGGTACATAAAGAAAGTGCACGTGGCGGAGTTTAACATGTATGTGAGCGCTAAATCCTAACCTTACATCGGACTGTTACAGTTGTGTAACAGCACAACACGAGAAAAAAATGTAAACTAGACAAAGTGATGTCCCCGCACTCAACTCATTTAACCGCTTATACCCCAAAAATGACAAAAAAAAGTTCAATTATCTCCCAAAAGAGCAAAAGATAATAAAAATAAAAACCCTGATTCAATATATGTACAAGCAGACAGTAAAGAGAAAACTTCCTAGGATTCAAACTGTAGGAGGAGTTATGCGGAATAACTATATACCCATAATGGGACGGACAGAAGGACGGACGGACGGACGGACAGACGGACGGACGGACGGACGGACAGACGGACGGACGGACAGGGGTAAAACAATATGTCCCCCCCCCCCAACTTTCAGTTGCGGTGGCATACAAAACAGTTTCATTTGGCTGTTTCAATAGATCGGTATGACTGGGTAATATAAATCCATCGGGGTGATCTCGGATGCTCCAGAAAAGCACCCGTCGTGTTATTCGAGAAAGTACAAACCCAGTGATTTGGTTTTATTTGGTAGTTTACATTCAAGGAAAAGATTACGGTTTTATGGTTACGACCACTGGAACATGTCCGTCGTCAGATATGAAACAGATATTCCAAAAAGTTTATTTTTCCATTAGTGCGAGGTAGATCGGGGAATTCAATTGATTACAAATAAAAGATTGATATTCGTATAAGTTCAAATGATCATTTACGCAAAAAAAAATTCGGAGAATTCTTCTTTTATAGTATTAATGCTTTGTCGCTTAGTCCGAGCCCGCTCCCCCCGTTTCCCTGTAACTTTAGTGTGAGTTGATTTGAAGTGTTTCATTTGTTAACAATAAAGTTCAAATCTTTTGATTTGTGTCGAGCCTGCGACATCAATGTAGCGGCAGTGAGACACAACAAATCTATATTTCGTCGTCGATAGTGGCGTCGGCGTCTCCATCTCCATTTTTTTATTTCTATTGAGTTTAACCTTTCATTATACATGTTACTAAACATGTATGACATGTATATTACTTTTAGAATATCATACTGGATTTGTTTACCTCGACTATTGTATCTGTATTTATATTGTATGTTTCTCTGTAAACTTGTATTTAGTTTTTAGAGAATAAAGTATCTATCTATATATCTATAGATCGTTAGGTTTCTAGTTTTTTACATTTTTCATTTCGGGACCTTTTATAACTTACTATAGGGTATGGGTTTTGCTCATTGTTGAAAACCATACAGTTTTGTTTTAGTTAAATAAAACCGAATTAAACTGTTTTGACATGATAAATTTGTAAATCTCCATGAAGTGTTTTAAAACTTGTATAGGAGTTATTCCTCAATTTCAAGAAAAAGCATCTACAGAAAAACATTTTTTTTTTTTTTTTTTTTTACCGATAAATGGATAGATAAATGTACAGCCGATCAACATGACGCTTTTACACTTACAGCAGCAATATCAGGCGAGACACAGGGTTCCGTGGAATATTTTACAAATTTATTACAAAAATACTGCTTCCGTTTGAGAACTTAGGATAAAAACAACAGGACCAAGTGGTTTGGGGATATCCCAATTATGTCCGAAATACTGTAAACTTTTTAATACTTTTTTTCTTATTATTGTCTGCCGTTCACCTTTTTCATACCAAATAACTCTGAACAACCACTCGAACTTTAATTTGAACTTTAACACAATGGATAGCGATACCCATCCAAAGCACATTAAACAAACGATATATTGAAATCTGTTTAAAAATAGAACATATTTTTTTCCGAATTGGTCACGTGGTTTTACCTCATCAAGTAATGGGATAACCACATCAAAGAATGACAGGACCACATCAAATAATGAAACAAACACATCATGTAGTGTAAAATCGTCAAATTTTGAAACATCATTGCGTAATGTTAAAACCACATAAAGAATAGGCAAATCACCATTACGAAATAACAAAACCACATCATGTAATGAAACAACTACATAACGTTAAGTCACATTCACATCAAGTAATGTTAAAACCACATTGACTAATGACACAACCACATTAAATAATGGTGAAACCACATCGAGTAATGACAAAACCATATTGAGTAATGACAAAACTATATCAAGTCAATACGAAACCATATCGTGTAATATCGAAATATCATTAAGTAATGACTATTCCATATTGAGTTATATCAACACATCATTACGTAATGTCAAAACCATATTAAGTAAAGACAAAATATCATCAAGTAATAATAAAACAACATAAAGTAATATCAGAGTTCCACATAAGACAGCTGTGGCGTTCCATAGAATAATCAAATTATATTCTTGGTTAAGTGTAAAATTTAGATAATGACAGACCTCCGTAACCTCTGCCATCTAATGGACATTGTCTTTGTTATTGTTATCTTTAGTCACTAAAAAATGAAATAACAAAAACAACCCGAACTTCAAGGTTAAATGAAAAAGGGGAAGTCAATAAAACCTGTCAAAACGAAACGCTCGACTATATCAACCAACGGAACGACTGGAAAACAACTCATATTCATCTCTTGGTACATGTATTATCCAAAGACAATAGTGATTTAAACCTGGTTTAATTGATAGCTAAACAGCACATTTGTATGACAGTTGTCATTAGTACCGTTATATTGACACAAAATTATTTGAGCACCCCTTACATACATAATTGATTAACATGACAATCATTGGGATCCAGAGACCAAATTTTGTAAACATACATAATAGATATAGAACATAACAAAATTAATCAAACCAAACTCAAAAACACTCAAATATAGCAAAGACGCCAACAAAAAATGTTTTTTAAAAATTAATAGTAAAAATGACAGAATCGTTTACATGTACTGCAGAGTATGTCATTACAAATTGAACTAAGATTACCTGATTCATTACAAGTTAATTACAATTCAAATACATATAGTTTCTGGATTCTGCCCTCAGAAAACCATATATTTGATGAGATTCCAACGTAACCGCATAGATTCTCTGTCTATTAAACATAAAATGACGCCCCACCCCTTCTTTTTTGGCGTCTAGAACTGCCAAACCTGAAACATTAAACAACTTGAACCATATTATGAAGTAGAATCATGTAGCAAGGGTAAAAAAGTGTAACGATCAGTTTTAGGGTGGAAATATCCTAATCGGTTCTAGGGTAGAACCGCCTAAAATTGTTCAAGGGCAGATCAATCAGAATGTGTTCTCGGGTAGAACTGTTATAGAACGTTTGAGCAACAGTTTTACGCTAGACGTTTTAAGGTAGAAGTGACAAAATAAATTCTAGGATCGAATTATCCAAAACTGCTATAAGTTTGGTTCTAGTGAAGAACCTTCATAATTTGTTTTAGGGTAGAACTGCCAAAAACTGTTCTAGGATAAACCAACTTGCGTAAGAAACTATTCTAAAGGTGACAGTAGCTGTTCCATGCAGATTTAAAGAATGATAAGGACTGGTCTAACCGAATATGCAATCTCAAAGTTGTAAACAAGTCAGTTCTATAATGAAAACTAACAGATGGCAGGAAACCATTGTTAAAATAGATAATAGATATACGAAGATGTGATATGAGTGCCAATTAGACAACTCTCCATCCAAGTCACAATTTGTAAAAGTAAACCATTATAGGTCAAAGTATGGCCTTCAACACGGCGCCTTGGCTCACACCGAATAGCAAGCTATAAAGGGCCCCAAAAATGACTAGTGTAAAACCATTCAAACTAGAAAACCAACGGTCTAATCTAAATAGAAAAACGAGAAACGCTACATTGAACAAGTGCTCAAAAGTTGGAAAAAATCCCCAGTTTGACAATTAGAACTTATATATGCACATACTATAGTTACTTTTTTGTGTTGCTGATAATTTTTGCCATTTGCATGTTTAACCTAGCTTCTATAGTTTTTAAGATAACTGCAAAACAACAACAGTAAAAATCAACATTTCAGGAGCGATAATTTCAAAACAGGTTGTCAAATTTTCAGATTAGAAAATCTTGTCATACGGATCATTTTTGCAGTTTTTATTTTTGACCTAGGTCTTATTCATTTCAAAATAACAGCAAAACATCTGAAAAATTAAAAAAAAAACATTTATTTTGTAGGGCAATAACTCAAAACCAAGAAAAAAAAGGATTTTCGGGGTAAATAGATTTTGTCGTTTTGATCTTTTTTGCAAGTTACACTTTTAACTTAGCTTCTATATTTTTCACGATAACAGCCAAAAACTGCCAGCAATTACTTTTGCATTGGCTATATGACATATCTCCATTAAAGGTCGATAGATTTTTCACTAATTTCAAGTGTAGACACATCTTATCGTGTTGTTCCTTTTATTATCTCTTTCAACCTAGCTCCTATAATTTGCACAATAACAGTCAACAACTGCTCAAAATGGGAGGGTCGATATTTCGGGGACATTAAATCCAAATTGAAGATAGATTTTTCTACAGTTTTCAAGGGGGAGGGGGATATCTTGTCATGTAAATCATTTTTGCAATTTACACTTCTCATCTAGCACCTATAGTTTTTGATGGCAATGAAATGTGAAAAAAGGTTAAAAGTCAATATTTCAGGGGCAATAATTAAAAATTGAGGGTAGATAGATCTTGTTATGTTGACCACTTTTACTCTAATTGTTTTCCTCTAATTGCTTTACTTCTAGAAATATTGGCAAAAACTATACCTATGTTCTAAGTTTAGACATGGCAGCCGTGTTGGCTGGTCAACCTGGACGAAAATCACAAAACTTCACAATTGACATCCTACAGATGAAGCAGACAAATTTTTGTTTCAAACAATTTTCAGGGGAGAAGATCTGTAAAGTTTACGAATAACAGGCGACGGAAAACGGACGCAAAGTGATGGCAAAAGCTTCTATGGCCCTTCTGGTCAGGTTAGTTAAAAGGTTATTATTAAAGAAAACTCATCTAACATACAACCTTTTGGTTTATTTGTATGTTTCAGAGTTTAGTGAAGCGTCCGTTTCGCTGAACTAGTATACATTATTGTTGAGGGTCCAGCTGAAGCCCGACTCCGGGTACGGGATTTTCTCGATGCGTTGAAGACCCATTCTTGGCCTTAGACTATTTTCTGCCCGTTGGTGGGTTGTTGTCCCTTTAACACATTCCCCGTTTCCATTCTATATTATAAGGCTTATAATTAAGTGCCCTAGAAAAGCTTTTCGTCTACATCAGACTCATCAGTGGCACCCAAATCGAAACAGTTGAAGTGCATTAAAACTCGATAATCCCCTAAAATGTGCCAAATACGCAAAACCTAAGTCTTTCAAAATACTTCATATTTTATTACAGTAAATGAACATATCAATGATATTTCATGTCAACACAAGTGATGGCTACTAAGCTGATGATACCTACGGACACGAAACTTCCACATGAAGTTGCATCGACCAAAGGGTTGCAATAACTCATCAAAGATACCAGGGTAACAATTTGGTACGACAGACTTTTGTTTCGTCTACTTATGACTCATCACTGATGCTCGAATCAAAACATCTATCTGGAAGGTAAAAACAACTGCGAAGTTGAAGAGCATTAGAAACCATAAATTCTGAGAGATTGTCCACAATGCAGCTTAGGCAGTCTTTGACAGAGATTAGTAAACATTTAGTGTTTCAATTATATATTTGTTTAAAATTGGTACGACGGATGCGCGTTTTGTCTACGAGGTTAATCAGTGACACTCGAATCAAAACAGTTGGTGGGCCAAACCAAATACAAAATAGAAGCGTATTATAAACAGAAAATTACGAAAATATATGCCAAATACCGCTAAGACAATATTTTCCATGCAGATGAAAAACCTTTGGTGTTTCGAATAATTTTACAAATTTTAACAGTAAAATTACAGAAAACGAACATATCAATGATATGCCATGTCAACACAAAGTTCTGATTACTAGGCTGGTGATTCACTCGATGTAACAGCATGTGATTGTATAGCACAATGTTTGTATCTCCGCTCCGATAAAAGATAGACAAACATAATCTACTAAGTATTAAGATTGAATGATGCATTTAGAAAGTTCCATGGTGAGATATTTAGTTTCTATAAGTTTTGATAAATTTCGTTACTATTAAAAAATCGTACATTTGCATAAACCTGTACATTTTTGAGACAAAAATCTCTGTCTACTTTTTGGCGGTCTTTATGCACAAACTTTTGCCGTCACCTGAATGAAAAGGTGGTTTATGTTTTCTATACTGTATATAAACATTATATAATATGCAAATTCAAATCAGTAGTGAGATCTGTATTGATTTATTCGGTTAATATTATATAAATAAATAACACATCACATTCTGTTGAATTAATTTAACACAAACAGATTTACACCTACAATGCACATACATAAAGCTTACTTAACATAGATATATCACAGAAAAACCACAACTACAATAGATGACAAGGAAACATCCTGTGTATATATTATATAAATATATAGTATAAATACTTGTTTAGTACTATCAACATCTTATTTCTATTTTCTTACCTTTAAATTTGATTCAAAATACGTATTCTATAGAAATGCAAGTTTGATCTTTGTTTTACGTAGTATAAGTAGTATAGATCGATCCCTGGCATTAAACAGTCTATGACGTGTTACAGGTTATCTTCAACGTGAGCAGGATGTACAAATTGTTTTCACTTTATCTAAAGTGTACCTATAACAATCCCGTTACATTTGTTATGTCATCTACTGAAAGCTGACAGTTATACATGTTTATTTTTGTTTCAATAAATCAAATCTCAATACTTCAGCGTTCAATCTCGTCCGAGTCCGTTGTCGTGAAAAATCAACTGTTTCTTTGAAAACTAGTTTGTTTAATTTGATCCTATCCAAGTACTCCCGGAATTTGGTAAAATATTATGAGCTTTTATTTCGGAATAATTCGTGTATTTGAATATCATTAAGAACTAAGTATGACATGATTTATAACATAATTTTCGTAAATTCGCAGTTGACAAATATAGAAATTATTATGAAACTAAGACTCAAACTATCTCAGGCAAAGTTTACCTCAGATTGAATTCACTATTATTTTTAGGCCCTTTTGTCCTATAGCTTCTAACGTATTCAGGTATTTATACATCATAGGCTTTCAAATTTCTATCAGCGTTTCTGATGAACTTTTGTATAGAAAAGCACTTCAGGCGCACAAAATAACAAACAGGTCATCTGAGCGAAAACTGTATAATCATTATTAAATATACTCTTCGAGACTAGATTATATTGTTTTTCATATATTTCACCATAGGACTGAACACGTTTTTGTAAACATTAATGACGTGTAAAAAGGGGTTATTAACTCACAACTGATTAACAGTCAGAAGAACTTTTATGTTACTTTTGTGAGTCAGCGGCCCAGTCATACACCAATAACCTCTAGGGAAAATGTATTCAATCCTTATAATTCACAATCAAATCATTTGCAAATTTTTATTTAACGTCAAATTCACAGATGACTTGTCATATACGATTTGCATATATGCTTGACATCTTCTCGTAAATCATTTTCGTAACAAATGAGTGAGACGCCTTAACGCTGATATCCATAATTATCAATTAATGCAATTAATTCGGAAATGAACCAATGTCTACGTCAAAAACTCCATTTTAATGAGTTATTGTCGAATTTGAGGAATACAAGTAACGGAAAAACCTTTAGCTTAAACGTTTTCATTCATATTACGTCATATTTTGTCCTGAAGTTAATGCAGAAATATCAGTCACAACGTTTTGCGGATTTTGTAATGCATTAGAATGGGAAAAACAGTTCTGTATATTTTTTAATTTCCGTTTTCTTGAGATCGCAGGCTTATATTTTGGTACGCTAGACGCGCGTTTCGTCTTCATCAGACTCCACAAGCGCTCAATAAAAAATGTTGCCAGGCCAGATCAAATGCGAAGGTGAAGAGCATTAAAAACCGGGGAAAAAATTCCGAAAAGTTGTGCCAAATAAGGTTCCTGCAATCTATGCTTAGTGAAAGAAAAACCTAAGAAAACAAATGTGCGGGGAAAGATTTCAAAGACAATCAGCTCTACTATTAGCGTCAAAACTTTTACGAACTTACGAAGCTACATGTACAGTTATGATTGATTTAAAAAATATGTACATGTTTCAAAAGGTAACAATTTCAACGTGATATCAAAAATCTGTTCTTGCTATCACTTCATCATGTCAACAACATTAAAATCTTCCGCACATTTTATTTTGATTGATTGATTGTTTCTGTTTAACACCACTTTCAACACTCTGAACATTAATTTTGATAACTATTAATGGACATTTTGTTTTTATTGATTGATTGTAGGTGTTTAACACCACTTTCAGCACTCGTGTATATATTCTGCTGGCCACCTTCGTCATGAAAACTGTAAATTTCAAAATGTTATACTTTTACGTTTGTGTAATTATGAAGCCATCATGTTGTGGAATAATTTAATTTTAGTGACGAGTTTATTTACCTTGTTTATTTCACCACAAAGGGAGACTTGTCTTCGTATTTGTACTAGTCATAAACAACATGACTGGAGCCACTATTGAAGCAGAAACTGCTTTGGAAGCATTGTTTTAATGGGTTCGTGTTTCTCAATCCTTATGTTTCTGTTTAAGGTCTGGTGGACTGTTGTTTGTCTGTTAAACTGTTCGATTTGTCGTCGGTGTCGTATATCTTTTTCGATTCCAGAATTTTGTATTCCCCGCTTTAAACATCTATGGTTTTAAGCTGATTGTGACAGCAATTACTTTTAAAAAGTGTATGCATAATCAGTTTCATTTCATGGTGGCTTATTTCTACGTACTTAAATATACTGAATTTAGGTGAACAGTTACTGAATTATTACAAATCGCTGAAATGTTTCATACGGATAACAACGTCGTGATAAACCCCTTTCTTATACATTTACTATGCCTATAAATTCAAAATGTGAAAAAGTTTGAATATACCCATAGACCAATAATAAATTTATAATGAACACCACTTTTTCTTCTTGGTTGGTACTCAACGTTCATGTAACGGGATAAACTGTTTAAAAAAAAACGACAATACAAAACATAGTTGTATAAGATTAACCAAAGTCAAAGTTAAAACATTTTTTTAATTCTCAATTTAACGAATTGCGAAATAGGTAACATGTTATTGTCATTTAAAACAAATATGTTTTCTGTATTCTGTAATATTGTATAAAAGTATTAACAAAAATATCGAACTCCAAGGTAAATTCAAAAAGGAAGAAGTCCATGAAACCTGACAAATAAAACGTTGGACTATATCAACCAACAGAACTAAAGGAAAACAACTGTCATATTCCTGACTTGGTACAATGTACAGGCATTTTCCGGGTAAAAATGATTCGTGTTTAAATAGGCGTAAATCCTCTTTATGTATATGAAGTGAATTTTAGGTTTCTTACGGTATGTCTGTGTCTCAACTCACAATTGACATTCTTAGATTTTTAGATCTGATTTGTAAATCGACCAATTTCGTCCTGTTTGGTATTGTGAAATTTGACTTGTTTTTTTTTATGACATATTGTTGACAGCTGTGCCCCTATATTTGACATTTTTACCTATTATATAAAAAAGAAGATGTGGTATGATTGCCAATGAGACAACTCTCCACAAGAGACCAAATGACACAGAAATTAACATCTATAGGTCACCGTACGGCCTTCAACAATGAGCAAAGCCCATACTGCACAGTCAGCTATAAAAGGCCCCGAAATGACAATGTAAAACAATTCAAACGAGAAAACTAACGGCCTAATTTATGTACAAAAAATGAACGAAAACAATTATGTAACACATAAACAAACGACAACCACTGAATTACAGGCTCCTGACTTGTCTATGTCTGTATGTTTTGTTCACACATTGTTGTCAATATAATGGAATTTTATGCGACTGTCATACAAGTAAGAGGTTTAGCTAGCTTTAAATCCAGGTTTAATCCACCATTTTCTACATAAGAAAATGCCTGTACCAAATCAGGAATATGACAGTTGTTTTCCATTCGTTTGATGTGCTAGAGCTTTTGATCTTGCCAATTGTTAAGGGACTTTCCGTTTTGAATCTTCCTTGGAGTTCGGTATTTTTGTTGTTTTACTTATTGTTGATTCGCATGGCTGGTGGCTGGTAGGCATGCAAAGAAGGAGACGCTTACCCTGTCGACGACGTACCCGGTCTCGTTCCATTTTGAGTAAGTACGATTTCCTCTATTTTGCTTTCAGCTTGATTTGCATATTCTAATTGTGAAACATACCATACAAAATATGGTGACTGAACTGTCGATAAATTATCTATAAGCAACAGTTTAACGTGTGCAAATACAAATAAGAATTCTAAAGAACGAATATCTCATTATCAACGCATTAACTTTCCATGTATTATCATATACAATTTTATTTCATAAAAAAGGAGATAGACCAGAGAACAAAGAAAAATGAAGTAAATATACATAATTTACACATTTTTCTTTTGACATTGTACAGAATAGGTAACTTTTAGAAGGAAGAATCAACGTTAAAGCAATGATTTTGAATATCGTAATATTGTTGAAGAAGTTTGGTAAACTTTATTATGGCTAGCCATAAAACCAGGTTCAACCCACTATTTTTTCTTAAAATGTCCTGTGCCAAGTCAGGAACATGGCAGTTGTTATCAAATAGTTCGTTTCTATGTATGTTGGCGTTTGTTTTTGTAGCAGTTCACTGTTTATGTTGTTCCGTTGTTTTCCTCTTATAGTTGATGTGTTTCCCTCGTGTTTTTGGTTTGTGACCCGGATTTGTTTCAGTAAAATCGATTTATGACTATTGAACAGCGGTATACTACTGTTGCCTTTATTTATTAATCTTTCACCAACGTAGCAATGAATGCTTCACAGTTGATGACTGCAACACATATAAACCCGCATTTAAATTAAAGAGATGTCGAGTAAATGAGCATTCCTGCACTCGAGGAACACCTTTTTAGACAAAATCGTTTTAAACTTAAATTTTCTCCGTTTCTCATTTAGGTTTTTTAATAAATGTGTTTATGCGTGGGTGATATGTAGTCATGCCATTCGTTTATTGTTCGTTTTATCGGCTGATGACATCAAATCTTTTCTTTTGAAAAAAGAAAACCGAAAAGATCCCATTAAAATACTTTTTTGTGCTTTATTTTTTTAATTTTCAGTTATCAATGGTGGCTGGTTTGGCCATTTCGCGTTTTCGCCCTTCATATTCTATAGGGCGAAAACGCGATATCGCGAAGTCGAAAACGCGAAATATTTTTTCTTTCCGATTTCGCGTTTTCGTTTTCGTGTTTTCGACTTCGAGTTTTCGCCTTTACGTACCAATTTATTGATTTCGGAGTACAAAATGTAACTAAGTAGGAATGGTAAAGCAGTCCACACAACAAATAAAAAATAACTAGGTACGCAAACTTTACCTCCAAAATGGGAACTATCATCTAACAAATAATTCTATTTTCTAACCCTCTCAATTTCTTTCGATGCAAACAAAATTAAAAAAAAACGCACTAGTGTTTCTAATGAGCCTTTATTGCTAATCTAGTAGAAAACATCATATTGATATAGTAATATAAAAATCAGAACAATTATATTTACAAAATTTTCCATTGATTTCTATAGATATTGTATTGGTGATCATAGTCGCTGTTTTAAATGTGTCTTTCTTTTTATAACAGTTTTAAAGCAAATTTAAAGACAAAAATGTTTAAATTCTCCCAAAAAAATCTTTAAAGGGCAGTTACTCCGAAATCAATAAATTGGTACGTAAAGGCGAAAACGCGAAATCGAGAAAAGGCGAAATCGCGAAAACGCGAAATGGCCTTAACCGGCCACCATAGTTATCTCGTTTGAAGAAATAGATACGAAAAAAAAACGCCTTGTAAAATTACATTTGATACATGCTTTATATAATTCTCTTAAACAAGTAGCGACAGTATCCGAGGATGTGTAAAGGGAAGTAAACACTTATCAAAGATACTACTTAGGCTAATCATTTAAAATTCTAGATGCCCGTTTTGTCTAATAAAGACTCGTCAGTAGTGCTAGAACAGTTGGAATGCTAAATTAAATACTAAGCTGAAAAGCATCTTAAACCTAAAATCAAAAATGTTGTGCCTAATCATACTTACATTCCATACTTTGTGAATTTACAAAAAAATGTTGTATCAATATAAAAATACCGAACTCCAAGGAAAATTCAAAACGAAAAGTCCTTTATCAAATAGTAAAATCAAGAGCTCAAACACATCAGACGAATGGAAAACAACTATCATATTCCTGACTTGGTACAGGTAATTCCTTATGTAGAAAATAGTAGATTAGTCCTTGTTTTATAGCTAGCTAAGCCTCTCACTTGTATGACAGTCGCACAAATTTCCATTATATTGACAACAATGTGTGAACAAAACAAACAGACATAATAGGTAAAAAAGTAAAATATTGGGGTACAACAGTCAACATTGTGTGTGCTATAATCTTAATCACTATAAAAAAAACAAAAATCATTTTCAACAAAAAAACAAAATGGCATATAGACACTGTGTAGACAAAGTACATAAGCAAAAATGAAAGACAAGTAAACAAAAATGAAAATACGGTATGGGTTTTTCTCATTGTTGAAGGCCGTACGGTTGCCTGTAATTGCTAACATCCACTTCATTAGAACTCTTGTGGATAGTTGTCTCATTGGCAATAATAAAACATCTCCTTATTTTTATATAGCGCAATAACACAATGGCGGGATATATAATTACCGAGCCACGCCAAAAGTATATTACCAGAAATGGACTTAACAGTAAAGGTTAAAAATATACAAAGATAAATAAAAAGAACACTATAACGCGTAATTAAGATGATGAACAACGTCAGTACATAGAATCTATACTTAAAGACCATCATGTATTATTTGTGAAGTTGATACGGAATATTTGTCAACAAGGTCTTGGTATCTTCCGATAAACTTTTTAAAAAAAAGGACGATACGTTCTTTGACATAACCCTGGTTCATCAACTTTCTGTTCAGACACTTTTGAGGTTTTATAAAGTCTGAGTAGCAACTGCAAGCTCATGAATCCCGAATGAGAAGGGAAATTTATATCCCATATGCAAGTGAAGTTGGTATGTTGCTGCTAAGGTGGGGGAAATTTATTATAATTTCAAAATTAAAATCGTCTCGTTTGTCATAGATTCTGGTACTGAGATGACCGCTTATGTCAAATTCGGGGTATAAGTCTTAAAATGAGGCGGAGGAAGCCGTGTATGTTGTTTATTTAATTTCTAGTTCTGGAGGATATATTAATGGAACACAATCAGAAAAGTTTGGATTGTTAATGGAAAGAACATCATCAATATATCTGAATGTGAAATTAAATGATCTGGCTTCTTTGATCTTCTTGTTTTTGACAAGTGTCTTAAGAAACTCCGACTCATATGAAAATAAGAAGAGGTTGGCAAAGAGAGGCGCACAGTTGATAGTTTATGTAAGTAACGGAGTACATGTAAGTTTTAAATGTCATTATGTCAGTTATTTTTAACATAAACTCAATTTGTACCCATCTTCTAAATGAGGGGTGACATGGGGGTGCTCATTTCCTATGCTTTTTTGTATTTGCCGACTTTTTTGTCCTTCTATTTACTTCATCACACTTGTTATTTTCCTTTGTTCAAACATCGTTGACAGCTAAATGACAGCAAAATTAGAGAAACTTCATTATGCTTATTCTCATAATCCGTCTAATTATAAAATTGTTATTTGAGTTTGCCCATTTCTTTTAAATCCAACAATTACTCAAAAGTTTTTAATTCCTGTACATTATTAAGAGAAAATGCCTACTTTTGTTCTTTTAATTTTTTTCAACATTTTTATTTTCTTTGTGAAATATTACGCATTATAATTTTATAAGAAGATTGTTAGATTATAGTACCGTACTATACTACCTACTTTGTTAAAGCGAAAATACCCTTAATGGCGACCTTCCAGGTTTTATTTTTAATTTTTTGAAAATATATTTCATTACAGCTTTCTCCGGATATAATGTTTCAAAATTTTGTTATAGGGTATGCGTCAATGAGATAGCAGCTGGTCGGAATACGATCTATAATATTAATTTACTAGTATGTTTTTCATTTTATTTAGCTTGTAAGACAACAACCAATTTTATTTGCTAATTAAAAAATAAGCTGAATAAAATCATTTAAGACAGCAGGGAAGATAATTCTGTATTAATTGTTTATTACTCAGACGTAAATAAAGAGTGAGCTAAATATAGATGTTTGCATTAAATAAAGCCAATAAATTAGCTCCATGACTAAATATATCTATAGTTTTTTGAAAAAGCAAACTAAAACTACATTTTGGCAAAATATCAAATACAAACCTTTTGTTTACAGTTAAAAGAATAAAACTGACATCAAATTTATTATTTTCATAAGCTGTATACATTTTGTGCATGTCAATGATAAAGAAACAGTCAAGAAATAAACATATAATGAACGCTTTTTCATCTTCCTTTCTCGTTATATTGGACAGTTTATTGCAAAGCAAATGTATCATAGATGTAGCCTCTGTTTTCTGTATTTGTGACGGTGTCTTGTTCAATCTTCATCAATCTTTGAAGTTTTTCATTGATTTTCTGCACTGGTATTCGTTCGTAAAGCATTCGTTCGCTGCTATTGTGATCCATGTTTCTCCTGGCAACTGCCTTGCCGATTTGGCTGTCAAGAAGTATTTCGAGTATTCTTGTCTCTAAAGCTAAAAATATATATATGTCACATGTCAGGCAAAACGTTGATTGATTCTAATTGTTTTATAAACGTCAAGTAGCAAATATTTCATGCATATTCTCGATGAGAATTGGTATGTTTTGCAAAGTGGATCAATCGAGAGGGGTTTGAATGTTATCAGTGGTAGATTGTGCATGCTGGATAGAGGGCTTCCTTTGCAGCAGACAGCCTTCATTGACAGATTGTTACTCTCCCGACATCAGGAACGGATTAAACGTTCCCATTCTGACCGGACATGGATTCGTATTAAAACATACCGCAAAATCAAGACAGACGTTTCTCTTTAGCTGGGTATTACCATCGGATGATAGAAGTGTGATCATATTTCTAAACCAACGTCAAACATTGGGGTATTAAAGCGTTCAAATATTCAAATTGTTAAAAAGAGGAAAACTTGTTTGCACGTGATTACTGACTGTAACTTCAGCCGTTGACATGTTTTGTAGATGTAAATTGGTAATTTGTTATACAGATCGAAGAACTTTTCGAAAATGGCCCTTGTTGGAAATGTATTCAGGGGAAACTGTTTCTACATGTATATCTTGGTAACAATATCAAATTATATCGCTTACTTATTAAAAGTAGCGCCTCGGTTGTCTCGTGGTAGCGTGTCCGCCTCGAGTGCGGGAGGTCGTGGGTTCGAACCCCGGCCGGGTCAAACTAAAGACTTTAAAATTGGTATTTGTTGCTTTTCCGCTAAGCACGCGGCATTAGGGAGTAAGAGCAAAGACTGGTCGGCTCGGATTTGGAATAATGTGTCCGGGTTAGGTGACATGTCTTCCTGCGGACTGTAACCTTGAGATCTAGCACGTTAAAAATCCGTCTCAGCGTGTCAGTCTAGTACAAAGCAGGATTGGCCGTACTTTTTATACATTGTGACTTGGATGAAGAGTTGTCTCATTGGCACTCATACCACATTTTCTTATTTATATTAATATTCATACTACATTATTTATAGACATGTTCTCGATTAATATGCATATTAATTTGCCACTGGACGTTAAACAGCCATCTATCATCATCATCTTATTAAAAAGTAAACATGAGGGCTAAGCATATAAAATTTAAAACGGCATTTTACGATTTTTTGTTCTGTCAGTTTCTTAACTATATGAATAAAAGACCATTCGTGGTAAACTTTGAACTTGTGAGACCAACAATGCTAGTGAAATAAAATGGGCATCTGTAGGGCATCATACAACACTTAAGTTATACAACGAACAAGGGTATACACCTTATGAAAAGTTCTAATTCGTCTCGCGTTTATACTAAAAGTGAAAACAAATTCAACAATGTCAATAAAAACTGGAACAAACATCAAATTTCCCGCGGTTAAAATTTAGAGTGACAGCGATTACCAGTGATGATATTTCTAATTTGAGAGGGGCAAATTCACGTTTTAATGGATGGAAGAGTTAACTAGTTTCGTTAGAGGTTTAAACTCTTGCTTAGAAGAATTATAAGCATGTACAAAACGCAATATTTAAATCAAATAAGAAGGTAAACAACACAAATCTCACTATCGTTTACGGAGCTGAAACAGTACATGCTTCTATGTTTTTGTTTTACTGCTCTCTGTGATTTCAATATTAATGTTGACATGTTGTGTAATCTCACGATATAATATATTTACAAATTCATTGACCTAGTGAATTTAAGAGAAAAGATTACTCAATTCAAACAATGAAATTTAGCATATGTACATTATATGGTGTAACAAATAAGTGGTACATATGGGGACTTTAGTGTACACGTGATAAAAAATCTCACTAATTACTACAAAAAAATTAAAAATGTGTCCTAATAAAATAAACAAATCGACATCATTTTAGTAGAACAGGAACTGGTGGCCCTTCCGGGAACCTTAGTTTACTCCCAATTTTTATGGCGTGTTGCTGTCGCTCAGTCTTTGCAATAGTTTTTCTGTGTAGTGTTTTGTGGACTGTCGTGGGTTTTTTTTATAAATTTAGTCGTTTTTCGTCTTGCCATGGTGTTATATGTTTTCTTCTACTTATGTTTTGTAATTGCCCCCTTGGGATTGTTTCTCTTTTTTCGATAACTTTTAACTCTCTGTATTTTGTTGTATAAAAATGTCAAATATATACTTACAAGATCGTCGATCAAAGCGGTCATCGTCATTTTCAATGTCATGTGTGTTCACCCATACAGTAATAGACACGATATCAAATTGATAAAAATAAAGTCCACCAATGCCGATAACCCCTTTGCCTTTGTGAGAAGGCTTTGCTGACCTATCACGATTTTTACGTATTGCATTATAAATGGCTGGTACTAACTTTTCGTCGTATCTTCCCGTGAAATAAAGGTAAAAATCGACAGTTGAGGTTTTCCTGAAATATTCATAATACGTACATTTACTTTGCTGTATAATATCACTAAGGGTTGGGTTAAAATAGATTGTTTACACCTTTAACCATCCCTTATCATCTTCAACCAGTGAAAAGGGTACATGTATTTGAAAGAACGAAAAAAATGAATAAAACCAATACTAAAAGCACTCATATTTATAATAACGACATTATATGTATCGAAAACAAAAGTACATAAATTTGTTATTTAAACAATAATTGATCACGTAATATATGCAATTACTAAAAGGAAGCTCAAAGAACGATACCTGCTGATATGAAATCATACTGTCCTACACTCTAATATAGGTGGCTGTATTTCGTAGCAGATTTCATACAACAACGTCATAACTATACATAATGATACGGTCTTATAAAATACCCAAAACAGATTGTACAGAATTTCAATTAAGAATTGAATGCTTATTTTTGTAATTATATATATTAGGGTGTAAAAGTATTGACCGAAGCATGTTTTGTATGAAGCGCACGATCAACGCTTTTACAATCCTATAAAAATTTGAAAAAGAAGCATTCAATTCTTAAATTACCATTTTTATGGTGGAACCATGAAATGACGTACGTAGTATCACAAACTTTTCATTTGTTTTCCTTTGACGCTGTCACGTGCTTCTGTCACGTACAGCACGTGCTGCTATGAATGTTTAATTAATTTTGAAAAGCCTCTCGATTGTTATCAGCGAGTCAAAAGGACGGATTCTTTTGTTATATATGTAATGTATTTATTAAAGAAAAAAAACCAGAAACATTTCAATTTTGCAGTAAAATATAACAAAAGTAATCTTGATCGTCTTCCATTTTAAAATTCTAATTTAAGAAAATGAAGTTCAAAATAAAATTGATACTTACGTCTACCGCATTTTCACAAACATCACTGTACAATTTATGTATTTTTATAAAAACGGATAAGAATTTTGATTACTATAATTTTATACAAAATTGTCTATATCAATAAAATTGAGAAAGCAAGCTTACACGTCAAATTTGTCGACAACACACTTCTCAAACTTCAATAGTTCTGATCCAGAAGTAATGACAGGGAGGTCTCCATGGAATACTTTTTCGAGCTGTAAATAAAGTGAAATTAATTTTAAATTATATAAGTGTATATGATTCTTGTGTGTTATGCGGGCTCCACTTGTCTTTCCGACAACACGTCTGCCATTCACTTTATCTAAAGATTGCTTGTGAGGGGACAGATATAATTGTAATGCCTTTTAATCCGAGATCCGACTATTCTTCATTTTAACAATGATATAGACAAAAATTATAATACTGCCTGCAGCTACAATCTTATATAAATCAGGTTGACCTTCAGATTTTTCAGAAATTTTATTTTTTGGATAATTTTTTACTTTTACTTTGTAAACAAAGGCTTGTCTATCATTTTTATTTTTTCTCGATAAATAAGAAAAATTCTGATTCTTTGGAAATGACAGGGTTTTTTCAGAAGTAATTTTTTTTTTTATTTCTGGTACTTTTATTCGGATTTCAGTTTCATTATCATTAGTAGTAATATGATACAAAAGGCGACCTAGCACCCCTGTTCCTTGAAAAAGCTGAAACAGAAAAGCAACTAATTTTGAAGATAATATTTGATTGAGGATGTTGAAAATATCATATCAACATAATTAATCAGAGATACTTTATGTAATCATTTAAACCATGCCAGTAACAAAGTGCATGTACTGACGACTAGAATGATGGAAATAATGAAAATTAGCAGTTGACCAGCAGCGGTATCTATTTAGTGGTAGCTGTATAAAGGTGTGCTACTATTTACAGTGTCAAGACACGTGGTTTTGGTATAAAAATCATCGGGAAAATTCAAGACCAAAAGTTTGGAAAATTGAATTGAAAATATCAAAGGATAAGACAGCCACGATACCGAAAATGTACTACAGAGTAGATTTTTACTCATCTTGATTGGTCAATATTTTGGTATTATTCAGCTTTAAGTATCAAGTGTTGTACGTGTTGTGATTTTTTGTATGCCTTGACCTTTTGTTTTGTCAAAACTGAATGTCTTACTGCCTAATTAATCATATCTCTTATTTATACCTTTTTATGCCCCTGCCGTTACCGGAGGGGGCATTAAGATTTACCCCTGTCCGTCCGTACGTACGTCCCAAAATTTTTCCGTTCTCTAACTTTAGTTTGTCTCAACCAAATGTTATGAAACTTATACACAATGTTTATTACCACAAAACTCAGATCAAGTTTTAATTTGGGGGGTCGTCACTTTTACTGTTCTTGAGTTATGTCCCTTTATAACGTTATATGCAAGCGGGGACATCACCTGTGTCCCATGGACACATTCTCCATCCATTTTCTAAAATTTCAAACCTTTTAACTATGAGTGTTGATATATATGGTGAAATTAATTACAGCTGCAATGAATACAAAATACTACCATGTGCTTTGTGTTTGATGATGCCCAAAATAACTAGTTAAAAATTATCAAAGAAAATATAAATAAAACATATATATTGATGTAAGGACAGGTAGATAGGCACATAAAAGTTAGTATATCATTTATTTACTCACTTTTGAACAAAATTGGCTTGCTTTTCTCTGAAACTCGTCGGTTGATTTGTCATTCAATTTTTCGGAGAAGTCGTCGAGGACGTCGGAAATATGTAATTGAATTTTAACCTCGGTATCGACGTGAGTAACTAAAATGAAATAAAAAGCTATTTTTGCATGACTATTGTACGATGACAGCAAACAATGGACTTCGTAGACTTTTAACTGTGTAACATACGAATGTGGCAATTAATGTTATGTGTAAATACTATACGTAATATGATTACCTTTTTACATGCACATATAGTACGCTATCGGTAACGAAAACAAATTGTTGCACATGGCTTTGATTTAATAAAAATGTGTGCAATACTTCCGATACGATTTATTTGTAAGTTCTATTAATTCATTAGGTAACTAAACTTTTCAAAGATCTTGAAAGTCATAACACATAAAAATCTCAGTGTCACTAGGAAAACACATGGGAAATCGGGTCTTTAACTGCAGTTGGAAGAACGGACAACCCAATATGGTGGATTGCAAATCGTTAAATAAAAAAAAACTCAGTAAAGAAACCATCCCCGTGAAAATTAGGATGTATCTCCCGTTCGTATTACGATATCTACAGGGACAGCTAGTCGAACATCCAAACCAAATCTTTTGACTATGAAAGACTTCAGACACGAGAATAGCGAGCGAGTTTGGAAATAAGCGCTAAGTAAGATAGAACTAAAGGGAACACACTGTCCATAAAAGGAAAATTTACAATACGATACTAATATCGTTTCTTTTGGAGTGAAGATACTAAATAAGCAACCGAAGTCATATTATGAAACAAAGTACTATAAACACTATGGCAAAAACTTAAAAACGACAAATAGACAAACAACAATAACAAAAAAATACACTTAAAACTCTGTACAAGTGTACAAATCTTGTTCGGTAATGTCAAATCTCAAAAGGACAATTATTGATGGTTTTAAAAGTTTGATTCAAAATAATCTCTTTTATGTAATTTTCCGCAGTATTAAGAGAATTCTTGATTATTTAATTAAAAGCAAGATGCGTGTTATTTACTGAATTTTGTAACATTACAGGAATACGTCTGCTATTAATTGGGAAAAATCAAAACCCATACGAATACCTACAACCTGTCGATAACATTTATTGCCGAAACATATATATTTTCACGGAGGACTTAAATTATCTAATCATAGTAACTTTAGTTACATCTAGCATTAGCATAGATTAAGTACATTGACGATCAATGAGATATCTCATCAATATTGACAAAAAATTATAGCAACTTAGAAAATATAAGCTCAATTATGATTTTCCGAACCTGCTTCACGGTCAGTTTTCAGTTTAATCGAAGAATAAAAATCATTTCATGAAAGAGTGCTGAACTGGCTGTGTCTGTATTGCCCTGGTATATATTCTCGATAAGATATACAAGCGCTATACTGTCGAATCTCGGGATTTATACAGCTGATTATTGTCTACTATTGGACCCTCTGTAGAACGCACGAATGTAGAGGAATTTATCACTTCTTTCCTCAGAACTTCCGTGTAGAATTTACGTCGTACCACTTCAAATAAAGTTTGCCGGTACGAACGCAAAACGCTTAAGTGTGTTTCTAATTCTTAAAATCGGCGTATTATTAACCCTTTCATTAATTCTTAATGTACAATTATGTGTATTATATTTACGTGGATGTTTTGAGTTCTCTTTTTATTCGCTTAGCTGACCCTTGTTATCATTGGAAGATTATGAAATTCTGAAGTTCATATAATTTACGGATACATGTAATCAATCTCTTCGTGTCTTGATTTTAAAAATAAACCAGTCGTCTAGAACTTTCATTGCTGTGTTTATGGATTTTCTGGATTTACCTTCATCAGGAACGCTATAAGCCAAATATTTAATAGCCAAAGATGTATAAGAACCGAATCAGTTGAAGAGCTATATGACCAAATAAAAATGCATATATATATTTATGGAAACGACAACTGATTATCGGCCACTTTAATTCCTTATGGAACACAACTGATTTTTATCGAGGACAATTCGTACCATCAAAAAAAAAATTATTTGTTTTGAAAATTTGAAATACATTTGATACATTTCTAAATACCGGGTTTAGGTATCGTTATATCAACAATTTTCTTTTTAAAGACATTATACAACTTGTACGCATCGGTTTTCTTTGAAAGAAAAAAAGACTGCAGTTTTCAAAGTGAGCAGTAATCTTATGGTTTACTTAATTCACGAACAAACTTAAAGGATAAATAAAAATAGTATACTATGTAATGCCGATATCATTTCTGACAAGAATCAGATTTTTTAAATGATTTTGTTTTTTAAGACTTACCAACATGCCTCCTTTTGTCAACGGTTGCTTCAGCGAATATTACTATGGTTAATAGAACATATAACTGGAACATTCTGTTTGCGTTTCAGAAAACCTGTACAAAATTTTTAAAGAAATGAATCAGAATTGCAGAATACAGCAAATGAACTTATTTAGTTGTCCTAAGATATAATTCCAGAAATAAACTTGTATGTTGGTATATGTAAGGCAATTCTCACCTGTAAAAACAGTGACTGTAATTCTTATGTAAATACTGAAATGCACCTTTATATCTATAAGCATTGCGCATAAATTTGATCATATCGCAACTTAAAACATGCATTAGTTATCAACATTTATAAGATATTGTAAAACATGTCACGATAGGCTTGACCAAAGTACAGAACAGCCAAAGGCCAATGAATTGTTACTGCTTATCTTTTTATACCTTTATTGTAAATAAGAGATGTTGTCGTGTTTTAATGACACCTGTTTTGCGTATTTGTTTATTTTTTTTGGGGGAAGTGGTTTTTGCTAACATAACATACCATATGTTAATGTTATCATTTTATCTTTCAACGGTTGCCTTAAACAAAATACATCTAAGATATATATAAAGCGTAAAATATAGTACTTGCGGGTAATATTGTACATGACTGGCCTTCAAAGATGAGAAAACAACATCACGTAAATCAAAATAAGACAAAAACTTTAAGAACTTGCATTTGCAATTATTGTTAAGTTACATTTGTAAGTAGGCCTTTATATTTATCTTATATTCAGTTGTTATATAGTTATAGTGTTTACTTGCTTAAATGAAGATACACGTAGAGAACGAATACATGCAACAAATTGAATGACATTTACCTTAAAGTATGCATAAACGTATACTGACCAGCAAAAAATTAAAAAATCATACAAAACAAATGTGTGGGTTTTTTTTTGGTTATTTGGTTTTTTGGTTTTTGCCTTTCTGGACATCTGCATCTTCGCTAGCCCAGGGTTACGATACAGTCCCCTTCTCTCCATCCTTGGCAGATTAAGCCAACCTGTGTGATTACAATGCTGCGCCATCTACCGGAAAATAAAAGTCATGCCCATTCCGACATCATCACTCTTGACCAATGGCAGCACTTGAACTCTCTTCAGTGTAGAGGTGTAAAAATGGTTGTGTCTAATGTTCACTGTTTCGTGAAGCAGGAACTGAAAATATAGGTTGACATTCCAACATTTGCACGAGAAACATACCCAGGAACTTGATCGTCTTAAAGGTGCTTTGTGATTGGATGCAGCCACTTACAACAGCGACCAATAAAAATCAATACCTCGTGTCTCCGAAATTCTATCTTAATCCGCCAAGGGTGGAGAGAAGGGGGACTGGATCGTAACCCTTGGCTAGCGAAGATGGGACATCTGGTGGTAAATATTCATTCTGTAGTGATAGCAAGGATATATACCTCATCGTGGGGCGTAGTCTAGACATGAATGCTATAAAAGTCATATCAGTGACGTCCTAAGATCCGCCATCGACACCAATTTTTCAATCATACAGTTATAAGATATCATTAATACAGTGACAGCAACTGAAATGACACCAATTTTAAATGTTGTCTTTACTTCAGAAATATTACCTTTATTGAAATAAGAAAGTTAATGCGGTTGATATTAATCAAAAAGATTGAAAAATTGTGGTTTAGAAATTGTGTTTACTATCCTTAGTTTTGTACAGTGAACGGAGTAGACTGTGCACTTCTATGTATCTATATACCAGGTAACAGAAGATGACCCTTTCAGTATTGTTTCCAATGAAAACAGAAGAAATTTTCCAGTATATATATATGTAGGTTTTACTGTTTCTTCTACACGAGTTTCAACAAATGTTGAATTTTTCAGCAATATAGTTTGAAAGAAAAAATCAGAAACCTTAAAAAATCAACACAGATCACATTTTCGTAAACCCGAATCGTGTACTTATAGCTTTTTTACATATCTATATGAACTAACGTTTCGGAAATGTAGACTGTTATTATAAAAATAAGAAGATGTGGTATGATTGCCAATGAGACAACTATCCATCAAAGCTCAAATGAAGTGGATGTGAGCAATTATAGGCAACCGTACGGCCTTCAACAATGAGAAAACCCCGTACCATATAGTCAGCTATAAAAGGCCCCGACATGAAAAATATGAAACAATCCAATTGAGAAAACTAACGGCCTGATTTAAAACAAAATAATTTACGAAAAACAAATATGACGGACATGAACCAACGATAACCACGAACTACAGGCTCATGACGAATGTAGCTGGGTTAAACATGTTTATGAGCGCTTATCCCTACCCCTAACCTGGGACAGTGGTGTAACAGCACAACATAAGAACAAACTATAAAAATAGGTCGAAAAAGGCTTATCTCATCAGATCGATACAAATCAGAAAAATATCAAACAACGACACAGACCGGACGTAGCAGGGTATTTATCCATCTCTCATCCCTAACAACAAAAAAGACACTAAGTACAGATCTGAGAGTACTCGTAGTTACTGGCAGCTAGTTCAAAACCAATAACAACTAATAAAATAATCATGTATCTAAAACTGAAATATCAATCAGTGCACATCCAACATCCAATGGATTTAGTGTAAAGACGTCATTAACAATCAGAGGACCTTGTGAAATGCTAAAATATAGGTATCGACAGATTTTAGTACCTCGAAAGTACATATGTGTATAACAATAATATTTAGTATGGTTTTAATTTACGGATAACAAAATCAACATTTATACCAATAAAAACAATATTCAAAGATTTAATTACAGTGTTGAATTGGTTACCTTTTAGAATAAGTTTATTTAAAGGATCGATAAGTTTACCAGAATCGTTTCTAAATTTCCGGGCTCGGTTAACAAAATCACCGTAAAATTTAGGATGTGCTATTCCGTTTGAAATAAGTTTTCTACAGGTACAGCCAAACTTTCAAACCAAATCTTTGCATCTATGGAAGAATTTAGTTGAGGTTTTAAGTAATTTGTGGTAACGAAATCCCTAACTTAATAATTTACTAGTAATACATAGATTACGCTCATTGAAATCCAAAACGTCACTTCAGACACGGGCATAGCGAACGAGTTGGGATATATAAACACCATACGACATTGCCAAAGGAACATCACCGTCCAAAAAAGGCAAATTAACAATTGGGAAAGAAAAATCATTCATTAATCGTTATTTTTTGTGTATAGGTTCTGGTGTAAACCTTAAAAGTCCAAATTTAGGAAAGGACACTTATTGCTGTTAATATTTGATATATTCAAGTTAAGCTCCTTTGGGTAAATTTCGGCAGTGTATTTAAAGAATTCTTGATTATTTAACGAAAAAATATCATCAAGATAACGGCTAGTGTTGTTGAATTTATCAATTAAATGGAATTTAGACGGGTTTTACTGAGTTTGGTCATAAATTGTGATTCATAACAGTACAGGAACAAGTCTGATATAAAAGGGGAAGAATTACAAAAAGAAAGACCAGCTCTTTGATAGTAGTTAAGGAACTCGTTAAAAGCACTGACAGATTAGTAGTAGAACACTTACTAGAGGCCGAGATGAAACGATATTTCACGGTTTTTTTGTGTAGTGTTGGTAACCAATACATAGTGGGGACCTTCAAGTATTCAGAGAGAGAAGGCCTTAAGCTGAGCTGTGGTAGTGACATGACTTTTTACTATATGACTCTCTGTGGAGCGTACGGCCTGGAATGTAGTTGCATGTATAATTTCATTCTTAAGGACTTAAGAGTATAGTATTTACGTCATACCTACCCCACATTGTTGGCTGCTTTGTCGGCCGATACGAACACAAAACGCTTTGCTAGTACTTGAATTTTGTTTATAATCCTAGAAATGGGCGTATTACTTATTCTTTTATTCATTTCTAAATTATTTTCGAAATGTGATATACGAATATGAACAATATTCAGACATTTATTTAACTAGGAAATAAGTGACTTTTTGTCAGATTTCTCCCGTTTACATCATGTATTGCTTCCTATTTATTTGCAGGATGATCTAATAATCATTTACCTCATTTAGTTCTCAATTTGAATAAAAAAACAAAAACAACACGTTATAAATTTCATGCGTCCGAAGCGCTTTTCTGGATTAACTTTCATCGGGAAAGCTCAAAGCCGAATGTTTGAAAGTAAAGAATGCATAGGAACCGAAATAGTTGAAGAGCAATATGACGAAAAAGGACCTAAATAAATAGTACACTCCACTTAGGTGTAAATGATAAGACAATTAACAAATTTATACTGTTGTTCCTTTGTTTTCCTCGTAAAGTTGATGTGTTTCCCTCGGTTTTGGTTTGTAACCCGAATTTGTTTTCTCTCAATCGATTTATGACTTTTGAACACCGGTATACTACTGTTGCCTTTATTTATACTATCAAAGCCATAGCAGTGGGGACGTGACCATCCATTGGCTGGGTCAGATAAGGTAAACATTCATCCGTTACACCCACTTATTACGTTGTTTTCACAATGAACACTTAAAAACGCATAGGGTAGTCAAAGGTTTTTTAACGCCTAAAACAATTAACTCATTGATACATGTAGCAAAACAGCAAAAATAACTAAATTATCAGAAGACAAGTAGAAAAATAAATATCGACCCTAAGGTCATATGTTATAGTACTACCCAGTACCTTAATCAAACAAATCATTTTAGATTCTGGAATAGATAATTGTTAGCAAAAAAACAAATGAAGTCACATTGAAGGCTACAACGATCAGCTTTGCTTGTACATTCAAATATTATGCTAACAAAATTTAACTCTTTGAAATATCATTCAAGTATCTTATGAATCCGGTCGTTTAGGAACAAAATCTACGTTGATGTTTTGTGTGATCGCAAATCGCGGCTCGTAATTTTGATAAAACAGTTTATTACAGAAGTAACTATGGTTTTGATTGATGTAGCATATTAATAGAGGAGATGCCGGATATATGTCAACGAGACAGCACCCTAGCGACACAAATAACCAACAGACATCAAATCATGATTCCATGACACAAAAAAGCTGAAAAAGGAAATGTAAAAAGAGTCAATTAAAAAATTTTTTGCTTTAAATCTAATTGTCCCGTTGGTTTGAAGTTAGAATGGGACGGATTACAACAACCGAGTTGAATATTATATGAAGGTCAGATGTCACATGCACCATACAAACACCGTGTCGTTCGTCAGGTCCTTGAATACTGGTTCGTCTAAAGGTTTTTCATTCTTTTGGTTCAATTGCATTCCTCGCGTGAAAAAAAAAAAACTATATTAATTTTCATATTAGTTACACAGAGTAACTTTAGGTGGAACGTTTATATTTCTTTGACAAAATTTTAATTTCCTGAAATATTTAAAATGAAGGATGTAATTCCTGTCAA